TCTCGCGTGGGTGATTTTCACGCGCGCTCGCGTTTCGCTCACTCTACTATCCCTGAGGAAAAATGGATGACTACTCGTAGACTGTACTCGTAGTCTAGGACTGAGAACAAGAACCATGAAGAATTGAGAATGACGCTGTAAGTTTAAGCATAAGATCCTGGTAAAGAAGGATTTCAGCCGATCAAAATGATCGCAAAAAAGTATCAGGAGCACATCCCAAGCCGTAATAAGAAAGAATCCGACTCTTTCAGCGGCAAAACATAAAACAAAACTCTTTGCCACACAAGCGTCTCTTCTGATGACAGTTAAAATGAGCTTTAGTTCGATTCGAGTCAAGCACTACATCAGCTCCAAGCTTTTGATAAAAGGGACAAAACGCACTTCAACTGTCGCTTATTGTAAATTGAAAAAGTGACTGACTTGGTGTTTTTGAAATCTACCGAAAGAAAAGGTTTTACAAGGGCCTTTATAACGGTAGTTTTAAGCTAACCGATTACCTTCTCCCTGGATCTACGCTCTAGCGACGTGTCGGTGATCTACGAATAACTCGAAAAGCATGGCAAGGCACTGTGAATTGAAACTTACTACAAAGGCGTAGTGATGAAATTCCTGACTTGGAACAAATTTACTGGAATGGTTATATTTGTCTGAGGCCAGCAGATGGCATGCAAAACTGTTCGAGTTCCTCAAAGGCCAAATGGCTATATTAAATGAATAGCACGCGGCATTGATGATGCACTCAAGGGAACACTCCGCAAAATTCTTAACGTTAAGTGAGGCCAGCCTGTTGGAAATGTTCAGTGAGTAGTTGAAGAATCCCTTGAAGTTTCCATAGTGAGCGTGTTCATGGTTGTCTCTTTTCAAAACCTTTTTGAGAACAAATCAACGAAACATTCACAATCTTAAATTAACGAAATGCAAAGAAGATTCAAGTCTGAAATTGTGACTTAAAATGACAGTTGTATAACACTGACGTTTGTAGACTTGGTCAATGTAACTACCGCAGCAAAGGCGAAAGCGATACAAACGGCCACTATCCTCCGCTGCATTGTTTCTTCATAGACTATTCCGTCTCAGTGAGTTTAATTTATACTTCAACTTTATCTTCTGCCTTGAAATTCTGCTTTCTTTTGTTTTTATTTGCAAATTAAGAGATAAATAATGTATGTATCATTCACTTCGGTTGATGTTATGTTTGAGGTAAATAGACCCTTGTGACGGTTATTTTATCTTTGCATTAATTCAATAATGCTCGACGCTGCTGGACATAGCCCCTTAAAAATAAGCAAACTTGCCAATATCGAGGGTGATATGTCAGAAAAGAGGGAATATATAAAGCTTCTTTAAAGCGATAAAGCGTCAAGGGTTTACGGCAGAGCAACTCGCTCGCTTAGCGTAGAGGTAGAAGGCCTAAATGTAACAAACGGCCCTAAATGTAATAAAGTCCTAAATGTAATAACATTTTGTCCTAAATGTATCCTAAATGTAAGAACAACTTGCCCTAAATGTAATAAACTATGAAGTTGCCAATTACAGTAATCAGACTCGAATAAGTGTCGCCCTCAAATAAGCACCGCTTTTAAGGGGGGGAGTTAATTAGTATTCGTGTAAATACGGTACTGAGCGTTATGACTATGGTATTAAGCGCCGCTCTCAAATAAGCGCCGCATTTTTGGAGAAAAAAGTTAATAAGCGCCGCGGCGCTAATTCGCGTAAATTCGGTAACAGTATTTTTCTGAAAAAGCAATATTTATTTCGAGACAGCAGGAGCACATCATGGGCTCCTGGAGACAGTTATGCAAACCCTCGACTTCGTCTCTGGTTTGCACAACTGTTAAGAAGTCTTCCAACCCCTCGAGTGTTATATCAGGCTGTGCAAACACAGGAAAAAAGTTTTCTATTGCTTTTATAAAATAACTTTCCCGAGAAAAAAGAAAAACTCTTTGTTTAGGTTACTGATTAAAAGAGAAATTCTTTCCAGTCGCGAATTCTTGTACACACAGTTATTTTCAAGGAGTTATAACAACTCCTCTAGTGGGGCTAATTCAACTCCTTACAGTGGAGTTATTTTTTGGGAAATTATTTTAACATCCAAAAAGGAGTTTAAAGAACTCTTTTTCAGGAGTAAAAGTGACCCCAGATATTGAGGAGTTAAAATATCCTCAGAGTTAAATTTACTCCAAAAAGAGTAAAAGTAACCCATGTAACGAGTAAAACTAACCCCATGTCGGAGTTATTTTAACTCAAGAGTGGGAGTAAAAAGAACTCTTTTTCAGGAGTAAAAATGACCCCAAATTCGGAGTTAAATTGGGAGTTAAAATAACTCCAAAAAAGGGGTTATCCTTTACCTAAAATTTTTACTCCATTTTTGGAGTTATAATAACTCCCTAAAAATTACGGTGCACGAAGCTTAATGTATGTGTAAGCAGTTCTTGTTTTGCTATAAAGAAGCTTTCCAAAAAAGGGTTTTTCTCGCTTAAAATGTCAGCTTAAGCGGAAAAAATTGGCTCAGCATGTTTGTAAAGATTTTCCAAGTTTCATCCGATGAGGGAATGGGTAAATAAAGTAAATTTGTCGAGTTTTCAACTGTGTGATTAGCGCACGAAGAGCAAAGCTTCTTGACTCCACGCATGTTTACATACTCTCATGCAAACACATCTCTCGGCCAATCAGAGCGCGCTTAGTATCTTAGTTATTCATAAACGTTGTTATCAGCTGTACAGTAGTCTAGACTTCTCGTTTTTTGTTCTTAATATTTTAGCTGCATGATTAGATCACTTTTCTAGAGATCCAACGTTGACAAGCAACAGGATCTTCGTCCACGGTTTTTGCAGCAAATTTCTTCAACAAAAATGAAGTATGAAAAACTTTTTAAGGCTTAAAGTTTTTTTTTATTTTGTCCAGGGGGGGTCCCATGTCGCTGGTCTGAATTTAAAACGTCTCGTGTTGTTGTTTATAAATGCTTCACGTCGCTGTCGGAAATTGAACGAAAATGATTTGTCTTTGTCCAAATTTTAGAAAAGGGGGATAGCGATAGGTTGTAAAGGTACCATAACAGTTGTGCAATTTCTCAGTTAACATTTCACGTATCGAACACCTATACATCGCCATTCACAATTACGGGTGTGTTCCTTTCGGTGAATCCAAAAACGGATTTTAGATCTTAAAACGGATTTCGCATTCCTTTCGGCAAATCCAAATTCGGATTTTTGATCTGGTGAATCCTTTTTGAGGATTCATTGGATTTGAAATCCGAAGAATTGGAATCCACATTAACGGATTAGTGATCTACGCTGTTCCATTCACAGTGGATTCGAAATTAGTCAGATGATGCTACAGCGGTATTTCCAGTTCAAGTATTCCCGTAGAGTTTCCTAGTTGCTGACATTTGCCGTAAACATCTGAAAACACTGGAAGATTGTTCCTGATACAGTAAAATATCCATGTGCTGACCGTTTGTCGCTAAAGATTGCTTAAAAACACAAATAAGTAAAAGGGACAAATAACTGCAATCTTTCTACAAACTCGCTTGTAGACGCGATAGGCACTCGATCGTGTTACATAAAAAACCGAGCTACGAAACTGGATTAAACTGAGCCGACAACCTTTAGATAATTTTCAACTTTAACACGCTTCTTTCTTGATCTGTTTATGTTCCATCGTCGTTATTCGAACTGCCGACCACAAAATTCTGCACGGTATAATCGCATAATTTGTCAAACAGTAGAAAACATGTCATTTCTTGAGAGGCTGTAATGCATATTGCACGCGTTTGCGAAAGGTTACCAAGGTCATAAATCCAATTTCGGATTTCACGTTCCTTTCGACCGCAAAATCCGGCAAATCTCGGATCAGAAATTCGTTTTTGGATTCGCTTAAAGGAACACTATCAACACACCCTTAAGACTAACTGACTTGATAAATCGTGGAGGCCGTTTAACGATGGTCTACTCTGCGAGAGCGGTTGGAAGGTCGGTGGCTAGGTTAGCTAGTACCTGGTCTCTCCACCGTCGTCACCGCCCGACAGAGGTCGACAAGGGTGTGAGAAGTTCAGGAACAAACAAAGCATTCATCATTTTCTAGTCCCTGGTCTCTTTCCACCGACCTTGTTTACCCCCCAAAACTTTGCATAGCCATTGTTTTCGATTTCTCTTGGGACGACTGTAATACCCTGGAGAATTTGGAAACATTGGTTATGCAAAATTGTGAGGGGGAAAACTAGGTGCATTATGGTCTATGTGAAAGTAGTGATTACAAGAGATGTAACGCGTGCGTAAAATTAAGCTATCTGACGGACAACCTACTTCCCAGGTCTCCAAGGAGTTGTGCGGGGTTGCGTAATCAGGCTGATTTAGTAACAGAACGGGAACGTTAGTTGACGACGGCGCGCGCAAATCAAACAACTGGCTTGACCAATAGCAGAGCGGCAAATTGGGCACCGGAAGTCGAGTTTAGTCCTATCCGCGCGCTCTCCCGTCGTCAAATGACGTTCCCGTTCTGTTGCTAAATCAGACTAATGAAGACTACGCGACGGGCCAACGCAACCGTGCTCAGGAGCGTCCACTGAAACTCACTGACGAGAGACAATCTCTGAAGCTCAAGGAAAATTGAAGAAAATTACTTCTCCTTGGCATTAAGACTGGTGATAAATTAGCCAAATCACCGTTCTTTGTCGCATATTCTCGGCTTTTCCGTCACTGTCGCAATTTGGCCGAGGGAGGTTGTAGCTTCTCGCAATTTTATTTTAGGCTCTGTCGCTACTTTTTGGGTCATGTCGCTTGTCGGAATTTACCCTGACAAGGCTTCTTTTGAGGTTCGTAACCTCATCATCGCGCGCGTGCAATGAATCTTAGGCAAGCCTGCTGCAACTCAAATTTATACGGGATCATAAATCGTGTATTCTTTTGTTTGCTTATCAGTGACTAGATAACGATCACGGTGTGCAGACTTTATTTAAATAATTACTTTACAAATGCTTTTTCTGCATCAAAAAACCTTCAACCCTTCCATGCACTTCCAAGATTACAAAACAACATAAGATTTTGTCCACTTTCTCAAAAGGTAAAAACATATGTTCTGCTTATTTACATAGCTTGACTCTGGAAGTTTAAGGGGAAATCATTATGGACATTCTTGTCCTAGTATTGTTCAAAAGATAGATAGTGCTATCCACCGGATAAGTAGGAGAAATCCAATTTGTTTTAGAGGCTCATCCATAGGATAGAGCTTACGGTAGATAATGGCGCTATACAACTTTTGAAACCGGGGTCTGGATGGTGGGGATATTGCTTTCAATTGTCAGTTACATCCATTTGCCTTGCAAACGGAGCACGTTCAAGTTTAAACCGACGAATTGCAACAGAGTGATAATGATATATATTTATGACGAAAAAGGTCATAAATAGCCTAAAACTGGAACTGGTACATGTAGCTCTTAGGTGGGTAGTTTCCCAGAAACCTAACTTGATCCTCTCTTTCTTCAGAAACCACGGCTGAATAAATTGAATCATTTCACGTAAGAATGAAAGTAAAATTCAGACGTTTTTTCAATTGCCTGCATGTTAAAAGAGGCTGTCCAGTCTTTTTTGAATAGAGCACCCCTTATATTTCGTTTTCCTGTCATGTTTTTTTTAAATACTGTGTGTGAATCAACTGTATTGGTCCGTGAAAAGGCAAGAAGGTCTGTTCTTTGCTCAGGTGATTTTATGGTCTTATTTTTTATACACCGTGTAGGTTTTTCCTGATTGAAACTTTAAATTACATTAAAAATGCAAACTTATAGTTGTTCTTCTTCTAGTCTAACCGAGTCATTTGTGATTACGCGAACTAAGCTCTACAATCATACCATCCAGCTCAGTTCAATATTAGTAGCGAAAGATCATTGGGAAAAAATCACCTCAAACTAAAGTGAATTGACTACAACTTTCTAACATTACGCGCAGTTTGTTCAAGTTTTATATAAATGTATTCTAACATTAGTTATTGATATAACTGCACTGTCGTATTGATAATAAGGCATGTACAGTTTTAGTTTTCTTAATTTATTTGGCTCTTCAAAAGCGATTGCAGAAAGGTTTGAAACGCAGGAAGCGCTTAGTTGTCTTGGTGCCCCCTGGTCGAAGAGGTTTTTTTTTATAGGAGGATGGCCTGAATTAAACAAAAAGCCCAAATACTAAAACACATGTCTTTCCCAGCCCATTATCTGCATAACCGCATTTATATAAATCTTCTGTGAACCATATCTGGAATTCTTCCCCTAACGATACATTTAAAGGAGTGGAAAAGTTATCAAACAGCAGCTCTGGTGAGTCAACGGTTTGACCTGGAAGGCCATAAAAGTGACTGCGACAAGGGACTCCTTTCAGAAAATAGTAATCTTTTGGAAGAAGTCGTACACTCTGGGAATTGGTAATGATGGTTCCAAGTCGGTGATCTTGAGCCATTTCCGGATAAGTACAACCCCAATGTGATGACGAACCTGCTGCACACTCTACAGATCCATTTTGATATATAAGCTTGAATGTTAGCAAATCACCTGCGATTGGAGCTACAAAGCGTCCAAAAGAGTCGGCTGATGCTCCGAAACAAACTGGAGAAGTTGTCATCTGCTTCCAGTGGTCTGAAAAAAAAAAAAAAAAAATGGCGGAAAAATAATAGGATCATCTCTTTTCTCGTGGCTATTTATTTTCTTCGGAGGCCTCTTTGCGTCGTAGGGAGGCTTGTTAGAGGGGAAAGAGGTTTTTTTGCATCTTCCCATCGTCAACGGGCACTGCGCTTAATACGTCACTCATTCTTTCCCAGCGGGAGCCTCTGTCCAGTAGAATCATGCATCATGTGTCCATCTCAAAGGTTGTGTATGTAAAATATATGAGAGTAAAAGAGTAAAGCAGTTGAAATACGTACTTGTCAGATTACCTTGGACTAAACTAAATAATTAATTTTCTTTAAGTTAGGTAATTTAAGTTAAACTTAGCTGTGCCAAGGAATATCAGTGGCCCAAGACTAGAACAGAACTTTCAGGAAGAACTAGAAGCTTCGCTATCAAACCCGTTGCTCCTGTAAAATAAGTAGACTAAGTAGGCGCACAGACAACTGACAGGTAAAAATTCTATTTATTAGCGAAAAAAAATTCAAACTGCATTGAAAATTGCTGAGTTACTGTTATAAGTTTGAATTCATGGTGAATCTTTGCGACTCGCTTCCTAAAGGTCATTATTTACTTGTTTTTATTACTCGCTTGTTTGTTTTCGCATGCCGGAACACGGTAGCGTGAAATTTCAAACGATTACGTCGAGTCGTTTTCTCCTCTCTCCGACCTCTCATCAACGTCTGAATCGACCAGCCGTTAATGCCGTCCAGTGAAGTCACTACCCGAAAACCGGGTAGTGATTTTGATTTGTTGATTGCCCAAACATTCGCATCATCTTGTATAATTATGAGAATTTTAGCGGGATGTTCGTTTGACATTCAGCGGATCACTTGCTTGGCATGCTTGCGTGGAAATAAAAAGTGTCGACAATCTTTATCCCGTAACCAGCAAAATTGCCCTTGTCTTCGAAACTATGAGTTGTTAAATTGAACTACGAATGATCACGAAGAGTCATTGCGGAGAGTCGGTAGGTTTTTTATTTAGAGCCGCTTTGTGGTTTCGGCAGTGACTTTGTTTGTGCAAAGTTTCTGGGATTAAGTTATAATTCGACCTTCTTGTCATTTCCACCGTCAAGTGTAATGATTGTGTTAGCTTTTCTTTCTTGTTTTCTTTCTTCTTCGTTAAGGACCAAGCAGCTTCTTTTCAATTAAAGCAAACGGATTCAGTTGTGTTTCTGAAGTGTTCGTTCAATTCGTGAAATGTTGGCGAATTTTTCTGGAGTTGAATGCTAAAAGACTATCAAAGTTCAGAAAAAGGAAAAGGAAGTCGTTGTCTTGTGTTCACGTCTTCTACAAAACGTGAAATTTGGCAATTTCACGTCGTAGTGGTGCAACGACGGCAAAGAAAGGTACAATAAAGCGTGATGCACGTGCAAAGTTGTTGTTTTGCCAATCTAAACCTATTGCTTTTTTGCCGTTCTTGTTGCCGTCGTCGTTGCTTAAGCTCCCTAATATTGAATGTTAAGACGTGTTGTGGTAACCTACATCATCGAGCGTTCCGTATGAGATTGATATTAATTATATATTAATAAGTTTGCCTGTAAACAGGTGATGACTGAATACTGACTGAGAGAACCGTCATCTGAGCCGCTCTGTATTTGGCTGTAACAATTAAGTAGCTACGGAAGGTTAAAGGATGTGTTTGTCATATCTTACCTATCTCACAGTAAATTCCAGAGAACCCATCACCGCAGAGGCACACATAACTGTTTTCCTTGTACAGAGACACACATCTTCCATTATTTTTGCATGGAGAGCTTTCACAAGGACTCTGTGGAAAAGTCACAACTGGGATATTAAAAATTCTTGGAAGATATCACCGCACTTTATACCCTAAAGTATATCACGCTAATATACAAATTTATAAATAACCCTAATTCTAATTTACCCTCAGCCAAAGGTGTTAATATACGTTTTGAAGAAGCCCTCCAAACTAAGAGAGCCTTTCCTTCCAAATATCATTATTTCTATTATTTCTACTTATCGAAGAACGAAAATTCTTGAAAAAATCCTAGCAACCTCCAAGGGAAGGACGGATTCTCCAATAGCCATTGATGCACCAGCGCCTACGGATTGTTTTTAATGCGATAAAACCAAATGTGATCTTTGCAAAAAAGTTCCTTGTTAGTTCAAGTACATTTTCTAAAGCCCAAACTTGCAGCAAATTGTTTTCTGCACACAGGCTTTCATTTTATTTAGTCATCTCCGAAAAATGCAACCTCCCGTACGCTGCATGGTTCTACCACTACAGAATTCCAAAATTAAGAATGAAAACACTTCAAAGTTTGCCGATGCACAACTGGATGTTTGCAGCTTTGAATTTTGCCTTCTAGTTAATTTGACTTTCACTGACTTGTTTTATAGATTTTCAACAACTCGGACACTGCGTTGAAACTGTGCTATAAATGATTTAAGAATAAACGTGCAGAGATTTCTTTCTGTAGGCACTGAGAATGAGAACCATGAAGAATTAAGAACGACACTGTAAGTTTAAGCATATAAGATCCTGGTAAAGAAGGATTTCAGCCGATCAAAAGGCTATGATGGCAAAAAAGTATCAGGAGCACATCCCAAGCCGTAATAAGAAAGAATCCGACTCTTTCAGCGGCAAAACATAAAACAAAACTCTTTGCCACAAAAAGGTCTCTTCTGATGCCAGTTAAAATGAGCTTTAGTTCGATTCGAGTCAAGCACTACATCAGCTCCAAGCTTTTGATAAAAGGGACAAAACGCACTTCAACTGTCGCTTATTGTAAATTGAAAAAGTGACTGACTTGGTGTTTTTGAAAACTGCCGAAAGAAAAGGTATAACAAGAGCATTTATAACAGTACTTTTAAGCTAACTGATCACGTTCTCCCTGGATCTACCCTCTAGCGACGTGCAGGTGATCTACGAATAACTCGAAAAGCATGGCAAGGCACTGTGAATTGAAACTTACTACAAAGGCGTAGTGATGAAATTCCTGACTTGGCACAAATTTACTGGAATGGTTGTATTTGTCTGAGGCCAGCAGATGGCATGCAAAACTGTTCGAGTTCTTCAAAGACCAAATGGCTATATTAAATGAATAGCACGCCGCATTGATGATGCACTCAAGGGAACACTCCGCAAAATTCTTAACGTTAAGTGAGGCCAGCCTGTTGGAAATATTCAGTGCGTAGTTGAAGAACCCCTTGAAGTTTCCATAGTTAGCGTGTTCATAGTTGTCTCTTTTCAACACCTGTTTGAGAATAAAACAACGAAAAATTTACAATATTAAATTAAAGAAATGCAAAGAAGATTCAAGTCTGAAATTGTGACTGAAAATGACTGTCGTATAACACTGACGTTTGTAGACTGCGTATGCTGCTTGGTCAATGTAACTACCGCAGCAAAGGCGAAAGCGATACAAACGGCCACTATCCTCCGCTGCATGGTTTCTTCATAGACTATTCCGTCTCAGTGAATTTAATTTATACTTCAACTTTATCTTCTGCCTTGAAATTCCGGTTTCTTTTGTTTTTATTTGCAAATTAAGAGATAAATAATGTATGTATCATTCACTTTTGTTGATGTTATGTTTGAGGTAAATAGACCCTTGTGACAGTTATTTTATCTTTGTATTAATCAATAATGCTCGACGCTGCTGAACATAGCCCCTTAAAAATAAGCAAACTTGCCAATATCGAGGGTGATATGTCAGAAACGAGGGAAGATAAAGCGTCTATAAAGCGATAAATTAAAGCGTAAAGGATTTACGGCAGAGCAACTTGCTCGCTTAGCGTAGAGGTACCAGGTATCTAGGTTTACATCTTGGTATTCTTTATTCTTCACAGCAGCTCATATGTCTTGTCTACAGCATCACTTAACGAATCGAATACTACAGCTAAACTACTAACTGCACTCCAGGGAACCACCTATCGACCACCTCCGAGTTGCGTCAAATGTTGGCAACATATAACTTTTAAAAATTTAGGTACGTTCGGGCTTGCTGACCATAAGAATTTACAAACGCTTTTCCGAATGACTTTTCGAATTTCCTGCTGATAACCAAAGTGAAATAAACAAACCTAGCGTGAGTCTACTTTAGACGAAAACAGGAACTCTGATGTAGGTAACAATCAAGGTCAGCGATAGTCGAAAATGTGCTCACTTCAACCAGGAGCACCCAACGGCAATTTTCGGGAAAATATCTGTTCGGAGGACGATTTGAGAACTAGTAAAATTTCTTGCTTGCCTTCCTCTCCTAGGATTTTCGAACATCTACAAAATGGTATAATTACTCATTTTAAACGGATATTTACCCTAAAAAAGGCCACCTAGAATTTTCGGAAGCTTTTTCCTGGCTCAAATTTTCGAAAAGGTAAGTTTTGATCCCTATAATTTTCGGATCACTAGACTTTCAGCTAGGAAATCCGAACAGATGAAAAGTTTTTAGGGGATAAAAATATGCCTATATCTACCGTTTAAAAACTAAAATGCGTTCAACAATGCTATCTTAAGTGGTTTGGAACTTTATCCTCGTTGGGTGCCCCTGTTCAACGACTGACACTCAAATTTAATAAATGACATTCACGTAGAAAAACTACTTTAAAAGGTTATAGAATTTTAAAACCTGTTGATACAACTATACGGATCAACCTTGATCCACCAACTGATCATAACAAACTCTAGTCAGGAGTGAACGTCAAGCCCAAACATGAAATAAATTAAAAATAACCTACAAACACCACAACAATACACATCTATTTTTCAATATAGCGGGTGGGACATACCAGCTGCCGCTATACAAACATCAGGGGCACCCCACGTCGGTTTTCGGCAAAATACCTGTTCGGAGAAGCAAATATTTGCCTAGAATTTTCTATAGCTTGAGGATGGCTAAAAATTTCTAAATGATCGTTCCATTCATGTGCAAATTTAGACCCAAATGTAATAAATTCTCTACGATTTTCTGAAGTTTAATTTTTCACATTTCACTGCCCAGATTAGGCTATTTTTCTTACAATAAAGGAAACCTAAAATTTTCAGATTGGAAAGTGTGATGAAGAAAAATCCTCATTTTCGACAACTCGACATCTCGGCATCTGGACAACTGGACAATCCAACATGTCGACATCTTGAACTGCACATCTCGACAACTCGACATCTTGAAATCTCGATGACTTGGAACTCTTGACTTGAAAAGTGGACAAGTCGACAAATTCCATGGACCTTAGGAGGCTCCGTAGAGAGGAGAAACGTGACGTCACAAAAATTAAAATTTGTGAAATTAGGGGTCGGTTGCGGCATATTCAGAAAAAACAAGATAAAAAAAAGCCCCCTTGCCAAAAATTAGCCTTTTAGTGTAAATTAGTGGGTATATCTAAGCACCGATTTTCTCTGATGACTCCATAAAAATCCTTCTAAAATTAGCTTGGATCGTCCCGTTAACGATCCAGGGCTATTTCAGAAGGATTCATATGGCGTCATCGGGGCATAACAATGGTTATATCTCCTCGCCCATTTGCACCAACAGGCTGATTTTTGGCAAGTTACCGTTTTTCATCTTGGTCTTTCTGGGAATAGTAACCAACCCAATAATTTCACAAATTTACTTTTTGTGACATAATCACTTCTCTAATCGTTCATAACATTTTTCCTTTTCCGAACTAACCAGCTAGCGTTGACTCAATTTGGAACATGTTTCCTTGAATCATATTCAGACTGGTCCAGTAACTGCTAAATAATGGCCGCCGCCTGCAATCTAAAGTGTACAAGACTATAGACAGTACTAGGAAGATACTTCTCAATAGTTCTCAAAATTATAGGATTTCATCCACGACTTTACATCTATAACCACCTTGAAGGGAATAATATACAGCAACACCACAGAAATGGTCTCCTCAGTAGCTGTCATTTGGCTCACAGCTTTGCCATTGGTTGACAAAAGACCAACAGTTTTAGGAGGTACACTATCAATCAACAAAGCAGAGAACGATCCCATAGATATATCTCTCGGGGAAAAAAAGAGCAAAAAGGTTGAAATCATGTTTCAAAAATGCTAAGTATAATCTGTAAAATTTATCTGAATTATCAATAAAATTCGAGGTGGTGGCCATTTGAATTACACTACACCTGTCGCTTGCAGCGCCATATCCCATAATACTTATATTACTGCCCCCACTCGGCTTTATAAAATTATTTAAATCTCATCGTCCTCTCTACCCCGCCACCGCTTTACGGTAGGGGTATTTTACAGGCTGAGAAAGTGTAGACAACATCAAGAGGTGAAGTATCTTTCGAATTTTAATTCATGGGATTTCTTTGCTTGGCAAATACCCTAAGATTTTCATCACAGACATACAATACCTCTCAATGAAATCTTTATCGTTGCCACTAAGTTCCCGTCTCCAGTTATCAACAAGAGTGGAAGCATTTCTTTGCGTGGAATCATGGGGAATAAGGTTTTCTTGGGTATGGAACACTGCTAGCTTTTGTGTTTATCTTGATCCAGTCTGAGATTTCAATCCTCATTGGAATTTTTGCAAACTTGAATAGATTTCTTGTTGTGTTTTCTAAATCTAAAACCAGATCTTCGTATCTAAGTACCTTGTAAAGGTGAAGTAAGTCAGCTGAAAGGTTTTTGATTTCACGAAGATTATGGTGAATACGGTTACATATTCTTTGAGTATGCTTTAGAATGTCCTGTGTTTGAAGCTTTCCATTTTTGAGCGTGCTTCTCCGCATGAAATTTAACTTCATCTGGGATAATTTCAAGGCCCGTGGGTCTCTCACTAAGTGAATAACTTTGCACGGCTCTGGCTTCGTATTAGCACACATTGATAGCAACGATGCGATGCTTTGGTTGGGAATCCTGTGTGACAAGATCTTGACAACGCTGAAGTAGTACTGAAATTTACAAACTTCCTCCATCGTAGTTCCGATAAGCGGCGCGCAGTTATTTCTTGCAGTAAAGGCGTGATTTGCTTCTCCCTGGTGGCATAAAGGAAAGGAAGAAAGTGCCTAGCTAGAAAAACGATGAAAAGAGTTGAAATGATCAAGATAAATTCAAGAGCGGAACCTGCAATTTAAAATTTCAAACAGTTATTTCAATGCGAGGCGATTGTAATTTTCCGATGGAAGGAAGGTTCAAGTAGAGATCTTCATTTGTTACCACGGTAACAGCACGCAGAGCTTCAAATAGATAGAAAACGTCTGGATGTTGGTTAAAAATCTGACTCAAAAATGACGAACCAGATCGAGGCTCTGAAATAATTATAACATTCACTCTTTTGCTGGTGGAAGTATTTGATGATGACGAACGAGCAAATGAATCATGATCAGTTTTAGTCGTTAATACGCCTGTTCGAGAGAAGTGAAGAGTTCCAAAGAAATCCATTTTGCTGCCATCGAAGGTTTTCTTTCCTGTAAAATGTTTGTTGTTAGTAATAGATGTACTAGTAAGTTTTTCTTTGGAAACCTCAACACGTTGAAATTCTGTTTTTTGTTGGTTAACTTTCTGGTGTACAATCAGCAACAAGATGCTTATTACAACAAATAAGGCAAGTGTTTTTGAAGTTTTTAACCTCATGATCGTGCTCGTGCAACAAAATTGGAAGCATACCGAAAATTTAGCAACTAAGATGGTGTTGTTAACTGTGTATTCTTTTGTTTATTTATCAGTGATTGAATGACAAGGGCTGGACTGAAGTTACATTGAGGACTGCAGACATTATTTGAATACACTGATTTCTTTACAAGTAGAATGTCCTCATCCCAAAACGTTTAACTCTGCACTCTTCAAGGGCAAAATAACACTACATTCATGAAAAGAATTATAAATTATTGCGCCACCGCATCATGAACGCTTTCTTTCATTAGTTTCATTGGAATGGTTATACGCCATAGGATTTCGTCTTCGGTAAACCATACGTTAAAAGGTAAACCATACCTAGTACTAACTTGTTTACACAGATTGACTCTGGAAGTTACAGTGTTTTATCAATATGGACGTTCTGAATTATACCTTAAAATTGTCATTTACATCTATTTACCTTGCAGACAAGCTTGATCTCTCCAGCTTACTTTGTGTATTGATCGAACTTGACGAGTTAAGACAAGCATGTAATCGATCGATCATGCAATTTCTGGCCGATGTACCACAAGGACGTATCCTGATTTATGAACTAAAGCACTAGCAGAGATTTACTCGTCAGTGTTAGTAACGTCAACGTTTTAGGAAAAAAGCTTAAAAAAGTATAAAGAAAAAAAAAACAGGATTGTATTAAAAACGAGTTGGAATATTTCATCAAGTTTAAAACCAAGACAAAATAAGTGCAAACGAGTGGTCAGTTATAGACCTGATAAGTTAAGAAATGTTGGACTCGTCTTCCTTGAATAATTTAAATATTACTTAAGCCGAGAATTAGGAAGTAAATTTCAATAGATATCATTTCATTTTCGTTCATGAATTATTCCTGTAAGAGTACCGTAGACAATGGGTCAACTACCAATATCACCCAACTTAATCATATGCTGCATCTGAATCAAGGAAATAAAAGTATCTTCAACGTTCAGGTGGCAGAAGTTGACTTATTTTATGCACATACAGTGCAGCTTTTTACCGAAGGGAACTTAACTTCGCATAAATTCAAACTTTTTGTTCTTCTAGTCAGACATGGTCATTTCTGAATGCGCGAAGTTGTACAGATATGAGGTAAAATAAAAGTGAAAGAAAGATTTTAACGCGCAACGAGGGCTTGTTCAAATCTCGGTACCTCACGTCTGAGGGAATCTACTGTATTTAAAGAGGGTGTCCTGAATTAAACAAAAAGTCCAAATATTAAAACAAGTCTTTCCCGACCCATTATCTTCATGTCCACATTTATATAAATCTTCTGTGAACCATATCTGGAATTCGTCCCCTACTGATACATGCAAAGGAGTGGAAAAATTATCAAACAGCAGCTCTGGTGAGTCAGCAGTTTGACCTGGAAGGCTGTAATAGTGTTTGTTACAGTGAAGTAATCCTTCCAGAAAATAGTCATCTTTTGGAAGAAGTCGCACACCCTGGGAATTGGTTATGACGGTTCCCAGTCGGCGATCTGGAGGTAGATTCGAATGAGTGCAACCCCAGTGTGATGGCCAACCTGCTGCGCACTCTACAGATCCACTTTGATGTATAAGCTTGAATGTTATCAAATCACCTGCGACTGGAGTTACAAAGCGTCCAAAAGAGTTGGCTGATGCTCCGAAACAAACTGGAGGAGTTGTCATCTTCTTCCAGGGGCCTGAAAAAAAAATGAAAAAAATAATAGGATAACTCTTTTCTCGCGGCTTTTTATTTTATTCAGAGGCCTCTTTGCGTCGTAGGGAGGCTGAGAAGAGGGGAAAAGAAAGCGCGTTGAGGACGATGGAAAGGGGATAGAGCCTTTTCCCTCCTCCCATTGGCCACCACGCGCTTTATACGTCATTCATTCTTTCCCAGCAAGAGCCTCTGCGGAGAATAGTTATGCATCACGTGTCCATCTTAAAGAGACTGTATAAAAATAAAGGTCTAGAATTTAGAGATGAGATAAATATTAAGCTTACTGAAAAAAAAAAAAAAAACCAAACAAAAAAGAAAGCATCGACACTTTAAAGAGGTCACCAAGTAACTGTTTAAAGGGACCGTATTGGCAACGGCAGAAAAAAATGGATAACAGGCTTATTAACGACGAAAACTGATTCCTGTGCACTTTAGTCATCATCAAATACTTCTACCAGCAAAAGAGTGAGTTCATGGTTCATGTTAGAATTGTTTCAGAGCCTTGGTTTGGTTTGTCATTTTTGGGTCAGATTTTTAACCAACTTCCAAACGTGACACAAGTTGACACAATTGTGGCGGGACTGGTTGCAAAGGATTTGAGACGTAAGGCAACCGAGGCTTACCATTGCAGTGCTGTCCAGTATATCCTGGAAGACAAACACACTCGTATTCATCACGATCGTAGATCGGGAGGCAAGAGCCCCCGTTTTTGCATGGATTTCCCATGCACGGAGTCTAAAGAAGAAATCACAAAGCATAATTAATTCCGGATTTTTTTGCTCAGAAATAATGAGCCCTCCAGGAATAAAATTCTTTAAAAAGGATAAATTAAACATTTTTTGAGTGCGCTTGTAAATTGCGCAAGGATTTAACTCATCGTGAACAAACTTAACGCACAAAAACAAGGATGATAAGATTTTCTCACCTTTATGTAGTAATGCTCAAATTCAGGGTCCTGAATAAGGCTGTTGGAATGTCTAAACTTATCTGTTCCCAGCAACTCACAGACCTGTTTCTTAGCAGTAGAAGCAGCAACATTTACCGAAAAGCACTCGTGGTTGCGCACGCATTGGAAGGTACATTCAAGCTTGGGAATCTCTAGACTGGCGAGCTTCACGGCGTTCAGCTTGACCGACAAAGCTTTTACAAAAACTGCAAAACTTACTCCCTGATTTTTACGTTTGAAATTTTGAGCATTAATTAAAAAACTCGTTGAACAAACGAAAATAATTTTTATGAAGAAGGAAATGTTGAAATGTACTGCCATTATTGCAGATCATGCAGCCTTCGCTTTTCTTTTATGTTTTTCGAGTTTCTTTTATACTTTCTTTTACGTTTCTTTTATATTTTGTTCCTGTGTCCTTAAGTCATCAATAATTCATGGTGTTAAATAACTTGTGAGATTTTAAGCAGCTTTGTACATCTGGATGCGATATGCTGCAAGTAATTTATCTCAGAAAGAAAACCTTCTGTTTTCAAGCAAACAAACAAACAAACAAACAAATGCACGAACAAAAAAAATATATTTTTCTGCCGGCAGGCAGCAGACGAAATTTTTACATATTGTCCGAGAATTTTTCTCTGGTTTCAAGTGTTAGAATTTTCGATCACAGATAGACGAAAAAATTACTTGAGAAACATCATTGTTAACAAATGCGAAAACGTTCAATCGGATTTGACTTTGTTTCAGTTTTTTTCAAGCAAGGCTAATTTCATAGTAGCAAAACGTTGGGGTACCTTTGTAAGAATCTTACTTTCCAGTGGTTTTTTGTAATTCACATCTATGCTAGCGTGTGGTATGAAATCTATTCGGAATAGAATGCAGCATTATAAATTGTACGAAAAAGAACTCGTGGGTGACTAATTACGCCTAAAAAAGGTGAAACTGTTATGGCAACGCACGTTTCAAATACGCACGATTGTGTGCGTAATTTGTTACCTATATTATGGAAAAGTAAACGAAGGGTATATATTCCCGAAATTAGAAAACAAGTTGTGCGCATATTAAAATAACTTCCTATACTTAGCTTGCTGGCCAAGTAGTTAACATCCAGAACTTTGGGATCTATAGTTTCGGGCTCAAGCCTGTCAGTAGAGTTCCGCTGAAAGCGGAAACGTTCTTCAACTTTGTTTCACCTCACCCAGGTTGGACCCAGCCGAGTGTGTAATAGATGCCGGTACGGTGGACATCTTGTTGCGGTAGTCTTGGATTTATAGCCACTCGTCTAGAAGTTGCATAATAGTTATTCCCATGTCCTAGAAGCTCTGAAGAGACCGGCAAGCTACGAGATCCGGCAGGCTGGTCCCTGTGAGCACGTGTGCTCGTGTGCACGTGCCACAGAACAAATCTTGAACCCAGATCTCCCGCGGCCAAAAGAATGTGATCTGGGTACGAGATGACATCTATGCGAGATTCTCTCGAAACAGAAGCCCATGACCTCGTAATCTCCTGCTCGGAATAATTTCTTGGATATATAATTTCTCGGATTAACTCTTTTACTAAAATTCTAACATAACATAAGTTTTTTTAATGAGTAGCCTCCCTGGCAATCGTTTCGTTGAGAAACCTGAGGAGTAGAGCCAATGGCTTTGATGGTTGCTTTAGATGTTTTCAGGCTTGTTTGGGCTAGCCCCTGCGGTCGTGCAAGGCGCACGACTATGACTGTCTAAATGGTCTATTCGTGTTCCGTCATGCTTCTTTGTAACTATTTGCAGGACCGGGTAGGATTATGGACAAGAGAGTCCCTAGTTATAAAACATCTATGCTACACCATGCTAGAGTACTAGTGTTGCTTGAAATCCTCTCGGACTAAATATTTTGTCGAATAATCTCGCGGATTACATATACATCTTTCTCTTATCTTTATCACTTAAAATTTCAATCGCTTATTCGAAATTCTTTAACTCTTGGAAAGATTGAACCCATGGCCCACTTAAACTGTACTCAGTAATAAACTTATTCCTGTTCAGTTGTAAACAAACATTTAAGGCAGGGTTTCCCTGCTGAGCCGTTAGAGACCTCGCCGATGTTTTCCGAAGGAACGAAAAGAAAAATAGAAATTTGATTTGTGAAATTATGGAATTGGTTGAAATATTTTGAAAGAACAACATCTGAAAGGCCTACAAACTAGCATTGTGGGGCAAATAGGCCATATGCACGATGATGTCATTTTACTGCTACTACCAGAATCCTTCAGGGTATTGCTTTGTTATGCAAATTACGGCTTTTGTTATTTAAACCTCACTGGGATTAGCAAATTTAAATATGAAAGAATAAAGGAAAGGAATTCTGGTGCCAGTAGCCAAAAAGACGTCATCGTGCAATTGTCCATTGTCTCGGAGATGCTAGTCCCGTTTTGCTCTGACGACTCCTTCCTTCTAAATTTTACTCGATTCTTAATGTTATGAAGTGAGTCAGGAGCTGAGTGAGTCGAATTTAGAAGGATTTGTATGAGTCACAAGAGTACTACTGGGCTAATATCTCAAAGACAATTTGCCCTGGAATGCTGATTTTCGGCAAGTAGGCCTCAGTTCGGTGTTGTTCTTTCATAATATCTCGAAAATCCCATAATTTCTCAAATTTAACTTCTTATGACGTCACTCTTTAGGACTCTATGGGCTATCAAGCCTCGTCCCCAGAGATTTCAGTCCTTCATTTCAGTCCCCCCAACTACTTTCTAGGGAAGAAGTTGGACGAGGTTGAGAGCTATACTGTGATGTCAATTGCTGTCTTCTACAAAGATTTTTGTGTACTTCTTTACACACTACTCTAAAGCTCGGAACACGTTAGGCGACAAGTTGCAGCAACAGGTCGCAGCGACAAATCACTCCGTATGTACAGGCAGCAACACGTTGCGGCGCGACAAATCGCTTCAGTAGTGTGTACTGGAGAATTATTGTGAAAATCTTGTCCCTTATGATTGCAACAGAATTTTGCGCCACAGCAAGTCGCACAAATTTTGTCTGATTTGGTTTCTTGCGACATGTTGTTGCGACCAAATGATTCTGTCGCAGAGACGACGATTTTGACAAAAATACCCCAATACCTACGAAGCAATTTGTCGCTGCGACGTGTCGCCGAGACATGTTACTCCAACTTGTCGCCTAGTGCGTACCGACCTTAATTGTGGGGGGTCTGGGCGTCTGTGAGCGGGAAAAAAAATATTGGCTTTCCGGTCCTGAACACCCTAAGTAAAAATTACAGAAAATATAAGGGATGGAAAGTTCTAAACCAGCTGAAAGGGGTACCATTTGTCAACAAAAGGTAAAGGTAATGGTATTAAAGGGGTGTCTTTTCAGTCAAAAAAAGTATATAATATACAGCAATTACCCGAAGGGGAGGTGAAAAGTGGTGTATATATATATATCGAGACGCGAAGCATCGAGGTATATATCTAGCGCTGTTTACCGACCCTGGGGGGGATAGTTGTTTTGGTATTTGCCAAATCAGCTGGATAAAAATGAAAAAAGTAACTTTTTGTAATTTAAAAGCGTCACTTAGTAGGAACTTTGTTTACAATTTACAAACATTTCGGCGATTTTGTCAAGTGCATTTTTACGATTTTGTTGCAAATTTTTCAGCATGAAAAAGATTTTCTACCTACTAGTAAACACCAACAAGACAAAGTTCGTCGCTTTCTTGTTATTTGTTTGTACGACTATTTCATTTATGGGTCAAATGTTATTTTTCGAAAAATGTCTCGAAACGAGATGCCATCTTGGCTCTGGTCGCAAAACACTGAATAGCCATGGATATTGCGAGCCATGGGAGCCAATCAAAACGCGCGAAAATTGCTATTCACCGATTTGGTAAATGCTAAAAAGGGTTTGGGGGATCTACCTCGGGGCAGGGCCTCCCCGCATAAAACATTCTTAGGTAGCCCCCCGGGTGAATCCAAAATATGCAGTTAACACCTCTGGGCTTGAAGACGAATAACGATTGTAAACAGTTGTTATATAATTATATTAAATTAACTTGAAACTTGAAATTTGAAACGAGCATCCCCGTCTTTTTCCTGAGAGTCATTTCAGACTAGGCCCAACAGGGCAAACACACTTTTGTCACGTTTTGCGCCGTCATCGTTTTCACGCAGAGGCGGAGGCGGCTATTTATGAGCCATACCGTAACCTTCTATATTTAGACACCACATGACCTATAACGATAAGTTATATTGAAAAGCCACTCTCTCTAGCTGCGCATTTGTTAGGGAAGGGCTGAACATTATAGCGTCGAGGAACTCGTCCAAAAGGCCAATATGAAGTCTGCTTTTGTTCTTGCAGTTTTTGTGATATTTGGCTGCTCCGATGCCTTCGGTATCAACACAGTGCCATCTCTGAATGTTACCCAATATCTTGGCCGCTGGTACCAGGTAGTTTAACGAAACGTAAATGTGTGCTTGAAAAAAAATGTATCTGTGTATTTAAGTGCTACGCAGTGTACTTTAGTATACGTGAGGAGTTTGAAAATGCTCAATTCAAATTGCTTGCAATCAATGTTTTATTTTTCTGGGCACAAATCAAACCACTGCAGCACGTACGGTTACGTAATACATGGGTAGTGTCACGAACTGCAAATTTAGTAGATATCACAATCCCTGCGATAGAGTGGGAGCTGCCATTCATTCTGGAGATATCAATATCGATGGGGCAACTTTAGAAATTTTGTTTCTGGTCTCTCCGCTAATTTGTGATGATTTCATATAGAATGATTCTCAGCGAGGATAAGAATGTCAATAATCACGTAAAATCCTATCTCTCATGACACTTCCAGAGAATTAATCCCCTTAATGTGAAAAGCTAAACCGAGGAGAAACTTAATCATTCAGAAAGGGTCAATTGGATCTTGAAGACAGAGAGTTTGCGATGAATTTATGTATAATTAACAATAAATATTTCAGCTCAATACGGCGCATCACTCAGTCAAGAAGCGTGTATATCCGAGGGGGGAAGGAACTGAATCACTACAATAACCTAAACTGCCGAGAGGCGCCCAGCACCCGGGGAAGGGTGGGGACAAGGCATTATTTGGCCTAAACAGAGTATGGTTTCTGACCTCTTGGGTCTTAAACAGGCTACACATTTTCACTCCTACGGTATATAGGACTAGGCGGGGAAGGGAAGGTGGGGGGGGGGGTGGCGGTAGTGAATAGTGATAAAAATGTTTCTTGTCCTAAACAGGGTAGCGAAACTTTACGGATTTTGTCATAAACAGGGCAGGGGTTCATGGTGTCAACGGCAAACCCCCGCCCAACTTTCACTGAAATACCACCCGGAGGATTTCACTAGTCGAGGTAAATTAAGGGGCAGGGAAATCTGTCATTATGGTATTTAAACGGGCGTTTAACAGTTTAACACAAATTTTCGAAATGAAAGACACCTTCCGGTAATGCTCCCGCAATATCGTTCATCATTTTTCAGGGTTTTGAAAAGGGCTTTTAAAAGTAGGAACTTGAAACAGGCTCCACTTTACAATCGAGAAGAGCAATGAATATTGCTTCAAGGCATACCTGTACTATGTTTTGTTTTTGCAGATGTACTCTGATGCCGCAGTTATGAGCACGTTTGAGCGTGATGCTGTTTGCGTGACAGCTGATTGTGAGTAGCCAGCTTGTCGTAAGCAAAGTGTGAGAGAATGGAGTTTGTGGTAGCCTGTCACTGGCCTGTGTACGCCTACCTCTCCCCTTAAAAAAGGCACAATGGCTGGGATTTGGGAGGGGATGGTATTAGAACACTAGTGCTGAAATATCTTGATGACAATTTGTATTTCCTGTTTGAACACATCGGTATACTGTAAATTAGGGGCAGCTAGTAGGGACGTCTGCATTTTCTGAAGGGGGCCATAAATGGCCTTTTCTTTTCCGAATCCCGCTACTATTTTTATTTCATCCTTTTCTTTTCTTTTTCTTGGTCTTATTTGGTGTGCTGATAATTGCCAAAAGTCCACATTCGGATGATTGACCTTTGAACAGCTTCATCTGAACTTGCGTCACCGACGGGATCAAACAGAAAATCTCACTTGTGAACAGAATACGTCTAATTAACGCTTTTCACACTAGCGTTTTCTTTGGGGATAATTTTCTCTCATTTATAAACATATAAATACTTTTCAATGTCTCTGAAGACGCAAGGCTCATAACTCGAGCCAACGTATAATCCTTCATAAGTGCGTTCTATCCAATGAAACGGAACATACACCAGTCACGGGCACCCAACGAGGAGATAATTCAAAACCACTTAACATAGCATTGTTGAACTTATTTTAGTATCCAAACGGTAGATATTGGCATATTTTTATCTCCTAAAAACTTTTCATCTGTTCGGATTTCCTAGCTGAAAGTCTAGTGATCCGAAAATTATAGGGATAAAAACTTACCTTCTCGAAAATTTCAGCCAGGAAAAGGCTCCCGAAAATTCTAGGTGGCCTTTTTTAGGGTCAAAATCCGTTAAAAATGGGTAGTTATACCATTTTGTAGATGTTCGAAAATCCTAGGAGAGGCAGGCAAGCAAGAAATTTTACAACAAATGCTCCGAAAATTCTAGTTCTCAAATCGTCTTCCGAACAGATATTTTCCCGAAAATTGCCGTTGGGTGCCGCTGACCAGTCACGCCGTCCCATGTTTTTCATCCCGCATTTTGTTTTTCAATTTTTCTCACATCCTGTTCAACATCCTGCCTTGATTTTTAAGCCTCATCCTGCATCTCGCCGTAGCTCTGTTTTAACCTATTTAAAGTAGTGCATTTAAGTCAAAATTTAGTAAAGCTCGACAAAGTCACATGTCAAGCATTCTTTGCTCTACCGACTATCCAAACAGAGTTTGTTTCCCACGTAAGCACTGATTTATTTGCTTATTTGTTAGTTTCTTTAAATTATGTCGACAACTAATCCTATCATCTTGGCTTTCAAAAACCCCCGTTAAGTCACCTCATATATATTAGTGGCCTGTTTTAGGCGTTCAGATAATTGGATGCGACGCGAAGTTAAGAAAGTGGGAAAAAGTAGAGGTGGACTGAGGAGAGCTCTAGATTCACCTGTCCAAAGGTATAGGCGGGGGTTTTAACTGACTTAAACAGCATAAATAAAGATTTTTTTTGTTCGAATAAAATGTTAGAAGGTTCTGAATTCACAGCAAATATTCTCTTTGAATTCGTAGCTCTTGCTTTTATCAGACTCTTCAACTGCGAAATTAAGTTGTTAAACGCATAGCTTTCCACTTTAACTATTTATCACGTGATCCCTCACGTGCAATAGGTGATCGAAGATCGCTGGTATATATATTAAACGGTAGGTCGTTTGACGCCGTCTCTGTTCGGTTCAGGTTGTCTCCTTCCAACAAAGAATTTAATTTGGAGGTTACAAATCGTGACTTTGTTGCTTTTGTTTAGATTCTCTTCGAAAAGACGGCAAGATCGGTGTCCTGAACAGTGAAAGGCTCAAAACAGAAACTGGTGAAGGAAAGAGCATAACAGGATATGTCTACATGCCCGACCCTAACGAACCAGGGAAGTTGATAGTACACTTGGAAGGAACTCCTTTTGACGCTCCTTGTAAGTAGAAATAAATATGCGTCTTATATTAACAGCCTATCGATATCTAACTTGGAAACGAGCATACGGCTCCAAAGGTTTTTTGGAGTTTGACTTTTCAAGAAAGCGTGAGAAATCAGTTGCCAACTCTTGAGAGCGCGAGTTAGGTCGTGAAGTCGCAAGACTGTGGTTAGTCTGGGGAAGTAACATTTTGTTTTTCGTTCCCAACCGACGTAGCACCAACTTTCTCCTAACAATATCCATGATCATGAGAAATAGTTACCGGAATTAGAAAAATAGAGACCTTTAGATTCAAGAACGAGGACGACTACGAGTACGAGATTTGACTTAAAGTTTTTTTCGCGTCTTCTCAAACTATAGGCTCCCCGGAAAGCTTCATTTTACCATTTTTCACCAGAAAAGTTAGCTCTGTTACCTTTAGTGAAGGAGGTTACACCCTCTTCCGATCGCAAAATGATGAAACTTTTAACATTTGATAACTTGTTTTCCCCACTTTGACAATCCGCTAAATCTCGTAGTAAAGTGACGACGGCTACCAAGTTTTCCCGCCAAAATGACGTTGGTTCACGCGCGAGCACTACTTAGTACTGAGATAATCTCGTACTCGTCTTAGAATCTAAAGGTCTCTAATGATCACTAAAGGGGCAATGCTCTGATCCTTATCAAGTTCCCTCAGCTAATTCTTTAAGGAAATGAAGGGAGATCAGTCTGGAGAATTTTTTGTTGTTACCGGGATTTACATTCGAATTAAGGGTATCGTAATGTATGTATAATGTGTAGTTAGAACTATGTGACTTTCAAGGAAAATCAACGGACTAGAATTTTACAGGGTTCACAAACTGTTGGTAAGGCAAGAAAGCAAAGCAATGCCCTTGCCTCCACGATGCACTGCTTATGGCAGTCAGTATCAGTACGTACAGGTAGTCCCGACGTACGTACAGGAAGCCCAGACGTACATGTACTGTATGCAATTCCAATAACTAATAATACAGTATAGACTGGAAAAAAACAGTATCGGAGCTAGAGTCGTACATATTAGACTGAAGAAGAATAAAAAATATGTAATAGTTCAAATAAATACACTTTATCTTTTTTATCGGTTTTATCTTTACCCTGCTTAAGTTTCAACTGACATTTCCTCTGTTTTTCCTCGAATTAGACTCTCAGTTTGGTGCCGCTAAAAAATATCTGAATATCTCCTTGCTTTTCCTGGCCTTTCCTGCTTTTCCTCTCATTTTATGTCGAGTTTCGCACTTGGGTAGACGCTACCTAAAAATCTACCGCCAAAATTACAATACAATGATATAATGGTAAAGTTGTATCAGATTTGAGTGTTACATATTCGTTGAATCTTCTTCAGCCGAATAAGGTCATCTCCAGCTCCGATTCTCTTTTGCGATTTATAATGTATTATCATAATTAAATGTTAAATGTTAATGTTAGTAGTATTATTACTTCTACTACTACTACTACTACTACAACTACTACTACCACCACCACCACCACCACCACCACCAATACTACTACTACTACTACTACTACTACTACTACTACTGCTGCTGCTGCTACTGCTACTGCTACTGCTACTGCTACTGCTACTGCTACTGCTACTGCTACTGCTACTGCTACTGCTACTGCTACTGCTACTACTACTGCTACTGCTACATTTTGGAATTGTTTAAATTCGATGAGCGACACTTTCAACGAAAATGTTACTGCCCCAATCTCGGAAGAATCATGGCTTCACCATTTCAAATCTCTGCATTCTATTGACCCGACGAATTCCACGCATGAACATGAAATCCATAGGGAACTAAATTCTTTAGAACACGAAAAGGAACAGTTTAACCATCTCGATTATGAGATAACTGAGAGGGAAATACGTCAAGCGGCGAAGAAATTGAAAAATAAGAAATCACCATTTGTTGACAGAATACGAAATGAAATGATCAAAGCAAGCCTCGAACCACTAATGCCTGTCTATGTCAAACTTTTTAACCTCATTTTACAATCCGGAAAAATGCCAGATGTTTGGTGTCAAGGCCTCATAACCCCAATTTACAAATCTGGTGACAAGAGTGATCCAACAAATTACAGAGGCATATGTGTTTCTAGTTGCCTTGGAAAACTGTTCTGTTCTATTTTAAATCGAAGACTTCACTTGTATTTTGAGGAAAATAAGATATTACAAAATTCCCAAATTGGCTTTTTGCCTGAAAACCGCACTGCAGACCATGTTTTCACTCTAAGGACCCTAATAGATAAATATGTGCATTATCACAAGGAAAAAGTCTACGCTTGTTTCGTAGATTTCCGTAAAGCGTTTGACTCTGTTTGGCACGAAGGATTGTTTTATAAGCTGCTAAAAACGAATATAGGAGGAAACTTGTACAACCTCATGAAAAGTCTTTATTGCAACTCGACATGTTCCATCAAAATCGGTGAAAACAAAACACAGCCTTTTTCAGATTCCAGAGGTGTACGTCAAGGCTGTATTTTAAGCCCTCTTTTATTTAACCTCTATTTAAACAATCTACCACTTTTATTCGAAAACACCTTATCTGACCCATTTGTTCTCCCAAATGGGAAAAAAATGAATTCACTTTTCTACGCAGATGATTTACTTATTCTATCAAGATCGAAAACTGGATTACAGAACTGTTTAAATGCGCTTTCTTTGTATTGTGACAAATGGAAGCTAAAAATTAATCCGAAGAAAACAAAAATTATGATATTCCAGAAACGCCCAAAAAAATCTATTGACATCAAATTCAACATAGGCAGTCAGTCAATTGAAATTGTCCAAGAATACACTTATTTAGGTACACGTTTAACTCCAACGGGAAACTTTACACTTGCACTCGAACACTTAAAAGAAAAGGCCCTTCACGCGTTTTCTAGTATTCGGAAGCGGACAATTCTTAACAAACTTAATCCTAATACTGCATCCCAAATTTTTGACACCATGGTATTCCCAATCTTGAGTTACAACAGCGAGGTATGGGGAATGTACACCAAGCAAGATTTTAAAAAATGGGATAGCTCCCCAATAGAAAAAATCCACCTCAAATTCTGTAAACGTTACTTAGAGGTTAACAATAAGGCCTCTAACATAGCCTGCAGAGCTGAACTTGATAGACTGCCGCTGCTTATCCCGATAAATCAGAAAATTATGAAATATTTTGTTTACCTCAACGACAAAGATAATGACTCTATAGTCAAACAGTCTTTCCTTATGTCAAAGAATCTACATTCTATGAATAATTCCGGATATTTTTCCAATTTCATAAACATGCTTGAACAATACAATCTAACCAGTTTAGATGCTGAATCTCTAGATAATGATAAAATTAGACGATATACCACAGAAATGAGAGAGAAATATCTATCTTTTTGGCGGCACAGCCTCGAAAATTCAAAAAAACTAGAATTTTATAAAACTTTTAAAGATGAATATTCTACATCTGATTATCTCTACCAGCTAAGACATTATGACGAACGACAGAATTTTGTTAAATTTAAAATAAGTAATCACAAACTTATGATTGAACATGGTCGATACCAAATCGATCATTTGCCAAGAGAAAATAGATTATGTCCTTTATGTAACTCAAATCAGGTAGAAGATGAGATTCATTTCCTCTTTCAATGTAACAACTACTCAGTACAGAGACAGGCATTTATTAATCAAATCAATCGAATAATACCTGACTTTGACAAGAAATCATCTCCAGAAAGCATAAAACTGATAATGAATTCGAAGGAACATCATGTAAATAAGTTAGTTATGAAGTTTGTTTCCTCCTGCATGAAAATACGTGATTCATTGTTAGTAATGTAACCGAATTTTTCTAGATTATTATTAGTGCTGTTTTGTTTTATATTTTGATTGTCATATACATGCTTTTGCAATACTGTAAAATGATGCGGTCATGCAAATAAAGCAATTTATTACTACTATTACTATTACTACTACTACTGCTACTGCTACTGCTACTGCTACTGCTACTACTACTACTACTACTACTACTACTACGACGACGACGACGACGACGACGACGACTACTACTACTACTACTACTACTATTGTGTACAGTATGTCTGGGCTGCCTGTGCAGTCACACGTTGGTATTACAATTTGTCTCGGACATTCTTTTCTCTCCACAGACTGGATTGTTAAGCTGGGGCCTGCATCGTTCGGCGAGCAAAATGAGTATCAGTACGCTGTCGTCACAGACAACATGCAGATCCAGTTGTACGTGCTGGCGAGGGATGTCAACAACTTCAGAAGCCAGTATGATAAAGAAGTATTAAGCTGGCTGGCAGAAAATGGCTTCACGAGGATTTACAACAAGCCTGTAGCAACTGTACAGGACGAGAAATGTCTCTACCCAGACAAAAAGTCTCTTTATCAGTCGCTCGGAGAATTTCTGGAACAGAAGTAGATCGCAGCGGTTCCTACAGAACGGAGAGGACTAGCGGATACCAAGTGACGCTTGAATTCCAAAACGTAGAACGCAAAAAACGAAAATACAAGGTGTCTAAATCAAGCAGACAGTTTTGACATTTAAATATTTGATGAAAGTGATTCTCGCTTAAGGAAACAAGGAGGAGACTTAAAGCAATCGTATTTTTATTATCTGTAACGAGCTAATTAATTAAATAAAAAAAGATGTCGCTTTACGTACCTGGTTTATTTACGGTATGACTAGTGAAAGCATTTGCCCTGGGAAATTAGGAATTTTTGGGTGGGGATGTGCCGCTGGTACCCTGGAACCCTTAACTTATACTAGCTCAGCTGAATTTTGCTACCCTGCACTAGAGTAAACTCCCCATATCCACCCTATCCTAGAGTAGCTGTTTTCCAGAAACTACCGAGATCACTAAAAACCTTCAACCAACTGATCAGTTTCCTGAAAAAAAAAAAACCCTTTTCTAGACCCAAACGCTCTGATTTATATACCCTATTCTAGAGTAAACTGCTTGAAAACCATACCCTTCACAGCGGCACATACCCATATAGCCCATATATGGCAGTAGCCAGGGCATTGGCCTCAACATGTACATATTTCTAACGTTAGTGCATTGAGACATTCTGAACACTCTCTTGCTGGATTCAATTTATATGGAGCGGAATTAGATTCAAGAGATTAGTTTACATCCACGAACTCAGAATTTGGGTGTTTTTAGTCTGTTAGCTTTGGACCATGCTCCGCACTGGGTGGTCTCCCCACTATCGAACCTGACCTCAGGCTATAGTCTGTCAGCAGGGAACAAGAACACGTTTTCAGCAATCAGCAGGAAGCGTTATCTACAATTATGCAAATCTGGCTCAGTGAGACAGTGTTCTCGAAGGTTACAAAATATTCGATGAAGAAGCTGATGGAGTTCTTGAATTTTCTTCTGAAACAGTTTGAATTTGTTTTTAGAATGAAAGGACAAGTTTAGTTTTACATAACTCGTTTTCACTTCTCCCGTTTGTATCGAAACGATCCCGGCTGAATCGGTAAGCGAGCGAATAGCCCCGTGCAAGCAGACAGATTATTGTTTGCCAACAACTCCAAACATTGTTGGATGTTACATGTGCCTCCGTTTGGGCACCCTGTTGCATGTTGTTGCGTTTTGTTGAGAGTTGTTGCGCAAAGTTTGAAGCCGGTCGAACCTTTAGCTATGTGCAAACGGACGCAACAACTCTTAACATTGTTTGGCCAACAATTTTGAGAGTTGTGGCGTCCGCTTGTACGCAGTCTAAAAGGTTATCTGAACTGTTCAGGGCGTGAAATAACTTATATATTCACTAGTTAGGGACGAAAGATTTTTAACTATGAAAATAATCTTAACAGGTACCAATAATGATTCACTATCTGCTTGCGCTTTTTGTTAATACTGAGGCGTGATGTTTCTCCTCCTTGCACTTTTCAGTCAAGGTTTTGGTTATCCCAGTTTTCTAATAGCCATTCTCTATGTCGAAGCTTCTCGGCAAGCAGTATATCCAAAGACAGAGGAATGGGCAAGCCTTTCTAGTGCTTTTTCGTCTCTCGTTTTCTAACTGAAATAAGCCTGGGGAGAGGTTGCCATAGCAGGTACTCTTGGTGACGGACTATACTGTATATTCCCCGTGTTGTGGTAAGAAAGTCCGAAAATGGAAAGGGCTTGCACTTCCCCTCTCATTTTCTAAGGCAAAAGCCCTGAGAACGAAGTTTAGCCACTATGGTGATTTTTATTTTTAAATTACTATAGCTAGAAATTGCTGTCTTCAGAATTATAGAGAGGAGAAGTGCGACGTAACGTTACCATGGTAGCAAAATTTCTGGATGACAACAATAGGGAGTTTTTGCAACGGCGACGGCGAACAGCAAAAAAACAATAGGTTTACTAATTGGCAAAAAAACATCTCTGAACGTGCATCACACGTTTTTGTACATTTCTAAGCCGTTGTTGGGTGTCCCAAAATCTCGTTCCTCTAATTTCATGCGCTAAAACTTTTGATATCAAAACTTTATTTTTACATGAAATTTCTAAAAGATCTTTATTGTTCTATCGAGTACATGTATTCAGAAGAACAGTAACCGGCATGCTGTAGAACCCCAGATGATCCATTTTGAGGTTTTTTAGGTTTTTTATCACCTGGTACGCAGGAGCCACTTCGCCGGCCCCCAGAATATCATTTTTTAGATCAGGCAGCTGAAAAAAAAAAAGAAAAAATATTTTGGGCATTCGTCCAAAAAAGGCTTTTCCACAGTTAAGCTTTTGATCTTCTTTGCGAATTTGAGACGAGGTGAACGTTGCTTGGCGGACTCGAGCAGAGCGGCTTTTTTTAATCCATCTGAGGGACCTCCAACATTAACTTTTTCGCTTTTCACGAACCTTCTCTGGCAGACTTAGCTTGCTAACTCATGTCACTAAGAGCTACCTCGTTGAGTTTCCTCTTTTGTACCTAGCTTTCTTTAAAACCACTTTAATTTTTGCTGCTTTATTCGGGACTTACGGTCATCCCCTTCGTTTCTCGTCTTCAAAACCTTCATTTCTCGATGAAAATTTTACCACCAAACATTCGGAATTTTCCAGTGTCATTACTAGCAGTTTCTTCAAGCGATAAGCCAGCAGATGGAAGTATACATATTTATGCTCTCACGTAACTGAGCGCTTTTGCGTTAGAGTTAGGGTTATCTTTCATGATATTCACAAAAAAAAAAGGACGGAGTTCGAGCAATTCGGGCTACAAATATACTCACTGTACAGAAATCGATAATATCGACGAGTCAAAAGATGGCACAACAAGTATGAAATACTAAATCAGATTAAAAAGAAACAAATTTTGTTTGAACGATTTGTTTATCAAGTCGAATCGTACTGCATTACAGACTTATAAAGAAGAAGAACAAACGTTTGGGACACTCTGTAATCCCCTCCGGCAAACACACTTCTGTCACGTTTTGCGCTGTCATCGTTTTCAAGCAGGGGTTGAGATGCCTATTTATGAGCCATACTTAACCTTCTATAATTAGACACCACATGACCTATAATGATCAGTTATATTGAAAAGCCACTCAGTAGCTGCGCATTTGTTACTTAAGGGCTGAACATAGCGTCGAGGAACTCGTCCAAAAGGCCAATATGAAGTCTGCTGTTGTTCTTGCAGTTTTTCTGACATTTAGTTGCAGCGATGCCTTCGGTATCAACACAGTGTCATCTCTGAATGTTACCCAATATCTTGGCCGCTGGTACCAGGTAGTTTAACCGAAACCTAAATGTGTGCTTGAAAGACAATGTATCGGCATATTTGAGTGCTACGCAGTGTACTGTAGTATTGGAGAGGAATTTGAAAATGCTCAATTCAAATTGCTTTCAACAATAAATTTTGTTTCTTGCTGGGGACAAATCTAGTAGAGTCAGTAGAGCTACAAGCACGTACGCTTATGTAATACATGGGTCGCGTCACGAACTGCAAATAAGTAGATACCACGCGATCCGTAGGATCTAGTGAGAGCTCACATTCATTCTGGAGATAGCAAATATCGATAGATCAACTTAAGAAATTGTGTTTCTGTTCTGTCGGGTAATATGGGATGATTTCATATGGAGTGATTCTTAGCGAGGATAGGAATATTAATGTCAATATTTTAACACGCGTAAAATCCTATCTATTTTGATACTTAGAAAGAATTAATCCGCCTTAGTGGTCGAGTAGCTAAACCGAGGGAAAACTGAATCATTCAGAGAAGTTTGATTGGATTTGGAAGACAGAGTTTGCGATGTATTTATGTATATTAAATAGCAATAAACATTTCAGACTAAGGGGCGGTATACTAAAGGAGCATCTTTTCTATGAAAGATGATATATAAAAAGATAGGAGGTTTGGCCTCGCGATTGAGCCTTCCTAAATATTAACAACAACAACAACAACATAAGCTTTATTTGCGTGACTAAAATATAACTTTATCAAGTGCCCGGGCCTTCCCCCTTTTCCCTCCCGCATCTTATCTTGGCAAGCAACACGGGTCTGGAAACAACCCACAAGAAAAGCGCCTTTGGCGGCTATAATTCTCATATAGACTCAGAGAATAGCAATGAATATTGCTACAAGGCATATCTGTACTATGTTTTGTTTTTTGCAGATGTACTCTGATGCCGCGGTGATGGATACTTTTGAACGTGACGCTGTTTGCGTGACAGCTGATTGTGAGTAGTAAGCTTGTCGTTAGTCCCTCTCGAGCATAGTTAAATATTTTTTTGTCTTAATATTATGTTAGGATTTTCTGAACTCAGAGCAAATATTCTGTTTGAATTCGTGGCTCTCACAATTAAAGCAGAAGCTTCATAAGCGAAATGAAGTTGTAACTGACTTCAACTATCTATCACGTGATCCAGTCAGATCACATATATAGTTTTAACTATTTATTTGACCCTTTGTGTCCTAGTAATATTGTTGCTTTTGTTTAGATTCTCTTCGAAAAGACGGCAAGATCGGTGTTCTGAACAGTGAAAGGCTCAAAACAGAAACTGGTGAAGCAAAGAGAATAACAGGATATGCCTACATACCCGACCCAAAAGAACCAGGGAAGTTGAAAGTGCACTTGGAAGGAACTCCTTTTGACGCCCCTTGTAAGTAGAAATTAAGACACGCCTTATATTAAGACGTAGCCTGTTCCAGGCGTTCAGATAGTGGAGCGCGGGAGGAAAATAGACGAAGAAAAAAAACGAGGGGAGACTAGAGGGGGAAAGGGTGTACAATGTAACTCTCTCCCAAATGACCGCCGCGCTCTACTATCTGAACGCCTGGAACAGGCTAATTAAAACGTCTTATCCGCTGCGTAAAGATGACCTCTCTAAAGACGAATAAAGTCAACTCCAGCTCCCATCCTCATTTATCGATCTGTAATGTATTATCAGTATTGCATACAGTACATCCTTGGCTGCCTGTGTGGTCACACCTTGTGTAGCATTGAATTGTAAGTTCTTCTTTAACGTGTCTTGAGCCTGTGTAATCAGATGTTCTTTTCTCTCAACAGACTGGGTTGTAAAGCTGGGGCCCGCGTCGTTCGGAGAGAAAAATCTGTATCAGTACGCTGTCGTCACAGACAACTTTCAGATTGGCTTGTACGTGCTGGCGAGGGATGTCAACAACTTCAGAAGCCAGTATGATAAAGAAGTATTAAGCTGGCTGGCGGAAAATGGCTTCACACATTTTTACAACAAGCCTGTTGCAACAGTGCAGAACGAAAAATGTCTCTACCTAGACAAAAAGTCTTTCTATCAGCCACTCGGAGACTTCCTGAAACAGAAGTAGATCGCAATGGTTCCTACTGAACCGAGAGGCAAAGTGGATACGAAGTGGCGCTTGAATTCCAAAACGTGGAACGCCCCCCAAAAACTGAAAAAAATAATAAATACTCGATATCTAGATTAAGCAGGCAATTTTGATATTTTAAAATGTTTGATTATTTTTCCCAAAGGAAATGGAGAGAATGCTTAAAGCAATCATACTTTTATTATTTGTAACAAGCTAGTTGAATAAAAATTGTCGCTTATGTACCTAGTTTACAGCGTGACGAGTTTACTTCTCTTTTTGAGCATTTGCCTTAATGTACTTTTAGCCGGATTTTTGAAAACGTTGTCTCAAAGTGAACCAAAGTAGCTATTATAAAAACTAAGAGTACAACCATTGCTTTTTTCTCTTCTCCTTCCTTCCTTCTCCTCGCACTTTCTTTTTTTTCCTTTCCTTTTCCTTCGTTACTGTCATTTTGGAGCTTCTCGGGCTTAAGAAACCTGCATTTTGACCACTATTCACTCAAATGACTTGAAATTTCGTTAGGTTGATTTTCAAAAATCCGTTAGACATGTTTTCACCCGTTAGTGGAGTGAGACATCCTCCCTTGCTGGATTCAACTTATCTGGCTTGGAATTAGTCCGGTGTGGCAGTAGTCTCCCTCGCAGCCGTTTTTAGTATCGTCACGCAACGCTCCTCCCCAGGGAGGAGCGTTGCGTGACGATACTAAAAACGGCTGCGAGGGAGACTAGTATGGCAGAAGTAACGCGGAGTAGCGCAAATCGACATATTTTTGCCTATTCTGCGCATTTTTTTGTCTACGCTTGCGTGTGGGAATCCAATAAGGCGTCTGAAAATGGCTTCCCTATCGACGAGATTTGAAGTTCCATTTCTCAGAAACCAACGCATTACAGAGCACCGTAGTTTGGGAATTTTTTTAAAGCTATATCTAAAATTTCCAATTATTGAAAAAAAAATCAAGGTAATTCTTGAAGTTCTAGCTTTTCCTACCACTTCAAGATAGTTAGTTTACATCCACGAGCTCCACGAGCCCAGAATTTTTTTTTTCTGGCGTTTGATCTGAAAACGTTTCCTAATAAGAAAAAGACCATTTTCATCCGGTCGTTAAGAGTGCCACCTTATCTTTATATGGTTATTCCAGTCCAGGTCAGTTATTCGGCGTTCTCGAAGGGAACATTATATTGGTTAACTAAGAAGAGCAGATTGAGAACTTGAATGTTACACAGGGCGAAAAGGAACAAATAAGGGCCTTACGTACATATGCATGATCTAAATTTTAAATTTGTTTCCAGAATGAAAAGACAACCTTTACCACTACCACACCCTATTGAGACCCTCAGGCAACAGGCTCGACTGAACTTATCCCGGGGGGGGGTGGAGGGGCAGCATCCTGCACTTACTCACTTCTTTGGGACAAGTGAAAAATCATACCAGCTAGCTAGTGATTGGCTACCTGCTTGAGTTTTCTGCTAATAAAACAGCTACATATGCATTTTTGAATTAAAATTTTGTGGCTTATACTGACTCTTGGAATTGTTAAACTAAAGTTCGTATTGTCCACAAAGAAAAGAGACTACCTATTGTTTACAAAGTAAAGATAAAAGCTTCGCTCAACTGAAAAAGACACATTTAAATCAGAAAAAAGCCCTCTTGCAATTTTATGAGGAATTAATTGGTTGTAAAACGAAAGGCAGTCAAAACAAACATAATACAGAAGATTCTAGTTACAGCTTAGGTAAACATTTTTAGCGAGTAATGTGACGCGAGGCTTCGCCTCTTGCTTCAATATATGTTCTTAAGCTGCGTAAATCGTTTACAAAAATCTAAAAATTCTGAACTTAAGATAAGCCGAAGTCAATAACTATCGTAAAAACTACAATTAGCTCCCGGGAAGCTTAATTTTCTGAGTCGAGATGGGTTTCAAGGGGCGCGTACTTCATTATCCACATTTTTACTTAAAATAACATTGTCTTCAGGTCCAATAAACCGACAGAAACTGTACTGACATCAAACAAGAACGTAAGAACATAAGTAAGTCTGTGTGTGGTCGCTTTCAAAGTACTGTTTTTTCAAGCTCCTACATGTTTTGGTTTTGGCTATTTCACTTCTTTACTGTATTCAGTTGTGGTTGCTGAAGGTGGGAAGGCGGAGATCTGATAGACGGTCATTCAGTATAAATAGGGCCCTATAAAATATTTTGAACGTCGATCGGGGGAGAGCTAAATTCGAAGAGGGGCGCTTATTTCAAGGAGAGTGGAAATTCGGGCATTCACGTTCAGCGATTTGGCAATAGGATAGCATTTTGTATTTATTTAATTTTTCCGATTTTTTACGACATTCAAGGGAGCGAATCGGTCTTTGAAAGCTTATATAATGCAAAGTGATTTCCGTCTCCGTTTTTTGGACTTGAAGGGCAAAAGAACCCAGTTAGATCTTGACCTTTTGAAAATAAGGAAGATAAATTAAACTGGACTGAACTCGCAGAATAGCTACTCAACCAAACAAGTTTTGAATAATAATAAAGTGACGCCAAGTCAAGCCAAATTTTGTTCTTTGCTTGTTCACCTAACCTTCCTCGAACTGGGAATCGATCGAACAAATAGCTATTGTGCACGATAACTCAGCAGAGAATGAACTCATTCTCTCTTGGTTAGCACTAAACTTTTTTGATTTGTCCCCTCTGTGCGAATATTTCGAGTTTCTCAAGATTTGTTAGTAAAACAGAGGCTTAGCAATGCACAGAATTCATGCAATTGGACGTGTAAGCCCGGCCTTTAAGAGTAGCGAAATCCTCATTGTTGGTTACACCATAACCGTTATTTTTGGTCCAAAAAGTTCAAAAATTGGTCGATCTGAAGGTTTATCAGGTAATTACCTTAAAATCAGGTTCTTAAATTGGGGGTAGCAATATACCAGCTTAATGAATAGAACAGAGGGAGTCTATTACGAAGAAAACTTTTTGACACAACCGGTCAAAGACAGCTGAGCGCCAGGCTGTGTAAATGAAACGATTGTGATTTATTTCTCATGGTATAACTAAACATTATTTAGGTGATTACTAATTGAATACTTACCAGGCTTACACTTTAACTTTGGTAAACACAGAGGACTGAATAAACAGAATTCAGTAATATGAACGAAACATAACTAAATAAAAAAGACATTAAGAATAAAAGCATTGTCTGTAATGTAAACTAAAGTGATAAACATAAGAATAGAACACGGTAAACACAGGCCACTGAAACATTTTCCAAGGCAACATGATAGTAAACAACAAAAGAAAAAGTGTTTAGAGCGTGTGATTATGTAATTTTTCTGTAAGCGTGTTCACGCGTCTTCGCATGGATTAAAACAAGTATAAAGCTCAACCAGGCCGCTTCAGTTAGGCTATTGTACGTAGTGCGTTTCTGACGGTATACAATTCGACTGGCAAAATGAAATTCGCTGTTTTGGTGTTTTTTACCTTGTTTATCTGGGGTGATGCCTTCTGGTTTAAGACAGTGCCTTCTCTCAGTGTGGACAAGTACCTCGGGCGTTGGTACCAGGTATGTTTCAAAAATAGTTCAGTACGCTAGGCTATTTTTCCTTTATATTCTGTCCATGTCTTCCAATTAGCCATTGGCTACGTGAAATATAATTGGAACTTCTGAGTCTAGTATGAACGAAATCTTGTGATGTAACTAATTCAAATGAAATCTGAACTCTAATCAAAACAATCTTTACATGGTCAAACCGCTTTTTACGTTCATTGTTTGATTCTTGATCTTTTTTGAATTTGCACAATTCAATCTGCTAACCCTGAAAGGTCTAGTTTCATTGAGAACGATCATCATCTTCGTTTCAGTTATTCTCTGTCTTTCCCAACGGTGAGAATTTGTGATCTTTTAGTGCAAATGTTTGTCTGTAATTGGGATCATTGAAATTCCTAGAAGACTGAATACACATCTCATTTGCAAAAAATAAGAAAACCAGTCCTCTTTTTCAAGCTGAGCTCTTAAGTTTATCTTCACCTTTCCATCTAATATCCAGTTCGTTACGTTGCTTATTGCTGTTAGCGATCATGTTTGATATATCATTTGTTTATTTCGTTTTTTAACTCATGATTTGAACAGATGTACGCCAGCCCCTTCGTGGTGAACACCTTTGAACGCGACGGAGTCTGCGTAACAGCTGATTGTGAGTGCATAATGAAAAGATTTAGCCAGGGCTAAAAGCAATTCTCTCGTTAATATTTATAATTTACTCAAACAAAATATAAAATAGTGTAATGCTAAGCGACGACGACAGTGAAAACGGCCAAAAAAAATTAGCAGGTCTAATTAGCAAAAAAACAACTTTCCACGTGCAGCGCACTTTTTTGTACATTTCTTTGCCATTGTTTTGGAGGAATACAACGTGAAACTTCCGGCAACTTCCTAGTTACACTTTGTGACCTCCTAGTTACACGTAACTTCCCCTGAGCTACACATTGTGACCAACTCAATAAAATGAAAATCTATAGCTGGACTAGCAATGCACGCATGCGTACGTATCATTATGGTTTTTTTTTTTTTCAGATACCCAACGAGAAGATGGCAAGATCGGTGTGCTGAACAGTCAACGACTTAAAACAGAAACTGGTGTCGGAAAGAACATAACAGGGTATGCCTACATACCTGATACCAAACAACCGGGGAAGTTGAAAGTTCGTCTTCAGGGTGGAGTTCCATTCGCTGCTCCTTGTAAGTGATTAGCTAGTAATTAACATGTTGTTAAAAGTTGGAACCACCTTCAAGGAGGGTCCGAAACAGTAGGGCAAGAGCTGCTTCTTATAATCCGCAACGTGTGGAAAAAATTGGAGCAATCTTGAACAGACGAACTAAGCGCCGTTTGAGGGTTCTTGCGTGTCCGCATAACTGATAGAACACCTTATAACTGATTTTGTTCTTTAGCAAAGATCCAAAACTTTCAAGCACGCTGAATGTTATGTATTTCATACAAGGGAACGTGTTTTATTGGGTATTGAAACACCAAGAAATGAGTCGAAAAAAGAGGCACACTAACTAAAAATTTGAGGAACGTACTTTAAGGTGACTCATAATCAAATTCAGTGAAACAAGAATCAAAGGTTGTCTAGAGTCTTATTAACAAGCCATTCAGGAGTGACGGGAGATCTTCCGGAATTTACAACTACAGAGCTGAGTTAACTACTTATGTTTTTGTTCCATTTATGTTCTTGGAAATGTCAATTGTCCTTCATGATTCAAAAAAATAACTTCCCAGTCCGATAACACGAACTAACGGTTTTCTCCATAACATTTAATTAATCGATTTTGATTGTTTTTCTCAACAGACTGGGTTGTGAAGCTGGGGCCCCCGTCGTTCGGCAACAAGGGTCTGTACCAGTACTCCATTGTCACGGACCCCTTGAAAATCGGTTTGTACGTGCTGGCAAGAGATGTGGACAACTTTAAAAGCCAATACGACAAGGAAGTCACAAGCTGGCTAGCAGAAAATGGCTTTAAACACTTTTACAACAAACCTGTTCCAACCGTCCAAAACAAGAAATGCCTGTACCCAGCCTAAAATTATCAATCGCCCCGAAAATTCCTTGATTTACGATTATGAGAAGTTAGCAGATTAAAGCGATAATAGTTCCAGTTCAAAAGTGGCTGTTGTTTGATTGTCGAGCAACTAGCCAGATTAATAATGTCGAATCTTGATTTTTCTCCCGTAGAAAGACTGTAAGATAACATGGTTCAGCTTTTGAAATAAAGGAAATCTAAATAATTGACATTGCTGTCTGTTTTCGGATTGTTTCCTGCTCAACCTTCGCGGAGTCACTGGACCATCAATTTTTTTTGAAAATTTTACTGGTAAATTGCCCTTTTTTCGAAGAAATTATTGGTTTCCAGCCACGTGATATGAGGACCATGATGGTTGATAAAACAATGCAAATTTCCCAGAATTTGTATGAAAAGACAATTGGTTATTTTATACGAGACAATTAGTTGTTTCTTACTTATTTGTTTTAGCATTTAAATGCAAAACGTAACTACAAATATAATGGATGGCTAGTATTTTATTGACAGCCGAAGTTAATTAATACTTTTTAAGTCCGTCTTTTTCAGACAACCATATGCTCCATTTTCTGAACTATCGCAAAACACGGGGAAATAAGAACCTGAAAGTACTTTCTCAAAGGGGGAGAACTAAGCCAGATTGAATTTCTACTATGCCAAAATATTCGGAAAATTCAGTGGAAAAATAACTGGAACGCTTCGCATCGGTCTCGTGGGAATTTTCCTAAAAACGTGCATGTTCACCTCAAGAGCCAGGTGGTCCTCTTTGACTGGTCGGTCTAGTCCGACCGAAACGTCGTTCCAGCATGAAAAATTCTCGTGTCCAATCGTCGGTGGAAAAGCGAATAGAACACTTTGACGAAGTTGGAAATCTTTTTTCTTTCACTGCCAGGAAAAGTGCAAACTACGAGGAATCAAGGCCGAGGGCAAAGATGGTAAATTCCGCATTCGTCCCCGAATTTACATCGCCATGTAAAATGGGGTGCAAATGCGGTATTTATTATCTTTGCCCTCGGGCTTGATTCCTCGTAGTTTGCACTTTTTTACACCATATTTGGCCGAGGAAATTTGTGTAAATCTAATTTTTTGAGCAATGTTCGTTCCATTTTTCCATTAGTTGATTCTACTCGTCCGTATGACCGGTCGGTCTGATGGGATAGAATGCAGCCATTGAATGGTATCACGTGACCTTGATTTCCGCTCGAACGTAGGAGTTTAGTAGTTTAAATGTACCCCATTATAAGGAAGCAATAACTAATGCAGAAAGTGAGTCAAGAAAATGTAACCCACTGGATATAGATCCTTCTCTTAAACTCTCCTTTGAAGTACTTACAGTTATCTCATTTAATCCTCGGACGTGAAAGCAAACTCATACCCCCGCCGTAGTACAAGGATGGGGGGGGAGGGGTCGTTGGAAACCCTCCATCGAGTTGTTGATATGTTGTAGTATTTCGAAACGATTTTAACTTCAGTGGAAAGCCTTTGATCTTCTCAACAAGATGAGGTATATTTTATGGGTGGTTGCGCTGCTGGAGGCCTGTGACGTCACCAAAAACGGTCGCTACCTTATATTTTACCAAGAGTTAGAAATCAGGTAAAAAATGCGAGAATTGGTAATTTTTTGAGCTTGACATGTAAGAAAACACATAAATAAGTACTTTCCATCATTTTATCCACAAGTTTTACTTTCCTCAATACAAGGAGTTGAAAAGAATATTCATTTTCACCCAACAATGGCTTGCCCACTTGCTACTTATAACGTCGTATTTCATAACCATAGTAACTGACCATCACTAAGCTTGCCTCAAAATGCGCATCAGGGATAAACGAACAGCAACTGAAAACGTCAGGGGCTGATGTTTTATCGTCTAGAAAAAAACTCAGGAAAACCTCAGAATAACGCCTCCTCGAACGTCCGAGGGTTAAAAGAGACAAAAAAGTTAACAGATGCAAATTAAGTCCCCACTGTAATACTTCTGTATCGTATTAAAGACGCTGCGGCCTTGAGGTTGAGTTTAACACTTCTTTATTTTGAGCGACAATATGGCCGAATGAAAGAAAAACATGTACTCGCAAGAGAGAGTGAGCTTGGTACTCGCAAAACATCATGGTAACATGCCAATAGAGTGTTTTCACATGACGTCACGGCGGCCATATTGGTGTCCCAAAACAATGAAACGGCGGCCATGTTGGTGTCCCAAACCAGTCCTCTGGGAGGTGAACTCTTTTCTTATGCAAATGCTCTCTTTTGTTCCAATAAATTTACATAGATGCTGGCCACGTGAGTGAAAACACTCTATAGCAGCGGAAAAAAACGCCGGAAGTGAGTGCCTCAGCTATGGCAGTCACTTCCGGTGTTTTTATTTTTTTCGCTGCTCTTGTTAATGGTGTTTTGGTTTTCTTTTATTCGGCCATATTGTCGCTACTGCATTAGCTAGAATACACCCACCGTGTAGGAATCTCTGCAAAGATATAAACATGAAGATCAGTATTGCGTGCTGGTGAGGTTTGCTCAGTTTTATGGGACCTTCCGTTAGTGGAAAGATGGCCTGTTCCAGAAGTTCAGATTGTGGCGCAAAGAAATGGCGTCAAACTCTAATTGTATATGATGACAATGATAATAATAATAATAATAATAATAATAATAATAATAATAATAATAATAAATTTATATTTTGCAATTATCAATGTAAAAATTTTCAATTATCGCGTTGCAATCATAAAGAGCAAAATGTAAAAAAAAAATAAGTAGACTAGCTATAATTGGGCATTACAGTGATAAAAAGCTAAAATGTAGACACAAAATACATATAAACATAAAACCTAGATTTAAAAAGCTTTTGGAAATAAAAAGGTCTTTACAGCTTTCTTAAAACTTTGAACAGATGTGCGCACCCCCGGGATAACCTGCGGTTTTCTAATACAACTGGTATTCTGCAAAAAAAAACTATGTTGTTTATTGGTGTTAAAGTAGAACAAGTGACGAGTGCACCCCCTCCTAAAAAAAACTCTGGATCCGCCCCTGTAGATCATCGCGTTCCATACTGGTTTTGGGGCGGCCACATGAAACGAACGATCCCCGTGCGTTGCGAGCGATTTGCAAGAACTATTAATAACGAAGGCGTAAGCCAATGTTAGAACGTAGATTAGGACATCTAAAAGTGTCTCTGTCTAACAGAAATAAGTTCACTTATGTAGGCTGGAGCAAAACCATGTATGGCTTTAAAGCAATTGACAAAATTTTAAAAACTATGCAATATTTTGCAGGCAGCCAGTGCAGTTACTTGAGCAGAGGTGTGATGTGGCAAAATCTGCTCTTCTTGAATATCACACGCGCCTGCTGCAACTCTCTGTAATTTGTGAAGATGGCATTCGGGAATTCTACTATCTAAACGCCTGGAACAGGCTAGTCAAAAGACCAAATTGTTGCGCCACAATATTACCTTCTTCCTCGAAGTCTTTGGCAATATACACTATTTATCAAAATCACTCTTCAGGTCCTTATATATGCTTAAATATATTCACATCGTCTTTTAATGATTACTTTTCTACTTGCTTTTTCTTTAATGCTGAACACTACTGAAATGCATCACTTTGTTTCCATTGAGATATTCAGAGCGAATTCTACTGCTCAGTTGTTAAGGAAGAACAAACACTGTTAGATTCTGTAACCAGGAACACTAACCACTAAAATTCTCCTTCAAGCTCAGAACACGACATTAAGGTGTGGTAAAATTTTTAAGATGAATTCCTATTATCTGCATTTAGGTGTCTTCCGCTGGAATAAGCAAATTATCATCTTTGGTAACATTTAGAAAAGTTGTTTCTTCACTTTTACAAATTTTTTGATTCCCTTTCCTTTAATAAGCAAATTGAATAACAGAAAGTTAAATTATCATCTTCGGCAATTCATTTAAGGGGGAGAGGAATTACCACATTTGTGTTGTTCTTAATTGACACTTCAGAGTTGGACCTGTTTTCATTCTCTACAACAGGGATATTTAGCAGAATCATCGAAAACAATTTTGACTAGCTTCACACGACAACTGACCGAATATGCAATGCATCGAGCGCTCAAGAAAAAAGTACTTTTGCCTTCATCGCATTGAGGCATTTTATTAATAACAAAACCAAAAAAAACAAATTAAACCACTTCATGAGCAAACATAGAAGATAGAACTATCGAGTTTGCAATTTACCCTGTGCAAACAAATGCACTAATGCATGAGCAGACTTCTGTGGCTAATTCAGTAAACTTAATAATAACCCTGGCTAATTAGAATAAAACAAAAATTACCATTTCAGCTTTGAACTTCGACCAGGTTATTATTTATTTGAAGTAAGATAGATCACATCAGTGAGACTTTCACTGTTCAAACGAAATGGATAATTAATATTGCCTTGAAAAATTTGGACCTTTGCTAGCTCGCTAAAAAGGTAAAGAAAAACAAATCTCTTATAAGCAAACCGTCACGGCGAGTTAATAACTTAAACCTGTTTAAAAAACATTAAAAAATAAACAAAGGACTATTAGCTTAATATGTACTTTAATGCCGCCTTATTTAACATCAGGGGCTTTGCTGAAACGCCATGGATAATCAGCATACTTCCAATGGCACTATATGAAGAAGTATGAATGAACTTTAGGCCAGTCTTTTTTTTTTACACTAGTTTCTGAAAAACAGTTATTAGTGTTCATGCATGAACAGACTTTCAGATAGTGCAAAAATGGAAATGTGGCGTGAGCATTTAGTGACTGATTCGACTGGTGTTGTAGAGTTCATTCAATATAGTTTGTACAGGCACAGTGATATAAATAACGAGTTAGTTAAGCAGTCTGTCGAAGCGACAATGACTGTTTCATGAAGAGTTCAGTACATTCCAATTAATCAGGAGCCGATTACTAATCACCGCACTACAAGGTTTCCTGCTCACTTTGCAATCTCAGTCTCGGTGTTCCGTAAAACCAGTATCAATCTGCCTCAGCTGCTGGAATCGTCCGATAGCAAAAGTGAACTAAACTGACTGAAACGATAAGCGTGTTAAAGCACGCCATTTCGTAAAGTTTCTAAACATTGACAGATCAGTAAAGTAACGAACAATGTCGTCCCACGCATAGTTGGCACTGTTCTCTTCGCCACCGCCTCTATCAATTTGAAAGCGAGTGATTTCTCTGAATAAGTCACCCATGAGTATTAGTTCTCGGAGAAACTTAACATCTTCTATGTTTGTTATACATTTTGCAAGCTCTTCCTTGACTTCGTCTAAATTAGCCTTCTCCAGGTTCAATATTCCAAGCTGCACTACATAACAAATGGCACATTCAAACTTGTCCCTCAAACCTTTAGAGCTAAAGGCGAATTTATAGACATGGTAGTCTACTCGAAGGACACTGCTATTTGATATAACCAATTGAGAAGCCATTCGCTCTGCTTCATTCCCAGTTGTGTTCTGAAGTAGCTCATTTACATCTCTCCAAGCCATTTTTATCAGACCATCGACAAATTCAGAACGACAGACCTCACGTACGTACATTCGGATTTCTTCAACAGATGCCTTGTCTCCAGTGCCGATCAACTGTTTTCCTACTGTTTTAACCACTGCTTTTACTGGAAAACGTTTGTCTTCATTGGCATCGTCTCTCATTTTCTTAGCCACCGTTTCAGTCTTAGCGACCAACATTTGTTGAATGAGTCCAAGTTGTTCAATAGTTTCATCTTTGCTACGAATCTTTGACTGTTTCATCGATTTCAAGTAACTGCCACTTGTTTGTCCCATTTTAAAGTTTTTTTTGTGCGCCCTTCTTCAGGATTTTTAGGGATAATAAGAAAAGTAGAGATGAATAGCCTAAATTCTATCTGTTTTACAGCTTGCGATGGAGCTGAATGAAAGCGGAAGATTTTAGTATTGCGGAAATTAAGGTTACTGAGTTAATTGAACTTGGCTCCACCTTAAAGTGCAGATTGCAGAGAATGGGCCAAAAGCTTGAGAGGTTTCGAGCTAGGAACAAAGACCATAAAACAAACAACTGAAGCCAAGAAATGTCTACAATTTTAAACCAACAAGCCAACTAGATCAGTGACTTTAAACGATCTGCAATGCATTATAGCAAAATTGCTTCGTCAGACACCCGAATTATCGCCGATTCGAGTTTATCCGGTAATTTACCCAGTGTAAACATTATTAGGCTTTTGAGCCCGCATCAACGATTGCATAAAGATAGTTCTAGGTTCTTTTGAGGTGCATGCTGACCTGATCTTAGTCACACTCCGTATTCAATATTTTTTGGTTAGAGGAGTCTTAAATCACATGAGAAATCTATTGTGAATTCCAATCTTCTGAGCAAAGTTGAGATTTCTCTGAAATCAATATTTTGATAGCAGGTCGTTTTCAGTACACTAGGTGAAGTGTAAGAAGTCTAACATACACAAATCTTCGGATTCACTGTACAGATTTTACAGGGAAAAAAAGTTAATTGGCAGCTTTATCCATCCTATTCACTCCGACTACAACTGTCGAATTCTGATAGACTCGATGGACCTGCTAAATTAAAATCTCTGGAAAAAAATTAATTTACGAATAACGGTGTACACGGTCATATAAGGGTCAATTGGCGCGTTACAATGATAAAAAGCAAAAAGTAAAAAAATTAAATAGGCTAGCTATAATTGGGCATTACAGTGATAAAAAGCTAAAATGTAGACACAAAATACATATAAAAATAAAACGTAGATTTAAAAAGCTTTTGGAAATAAAAAGGTCTGTACAGCTTTCTTAAAACTTTGAACAGATGTGATGTTTCTCAAGGTACGTGGTAGATCATCGCGTTTCATAGTCTCGGGGCGGCCACATGAAATGAACGATCCCCGTGCGTTGCGAGCGATTTGCAAGAACTATCAATAATGAAGGCGTAAACCAATGTTAGAACGTAGATTAGAACATCCAAAAGTGTCTCTGTCTAACAGAAATAAGTTCACTTATGTAGGCTGGAGCAAAACCATGTATGGCCTTGAAGCATTTCACAAAATTTTAAACACTATGCAATATTTTGCAGGCAGCCAGTGCAGTTACTTGAGCAGAGGTGTGATTTGGCAAAATCTGCTCTCCTTGAATACCAGACGCGCCTGCTGCAACTCTCTGTAATTTGTGAAGATGGCATTCGGGAATTCTATAACCTAAACGCCTGGAACAGGCTAGTCAAAAGACCAAATTGTTGCGCCACAATATTACCTTCTTCCTCGAAGTCTTTGGCAATATACACTATTTATCAAAATCACTCTTTAGGTCCTTATATATGCTTAAATATATTCACATCGTCTTTTCAATGATTAGTTTTCTACTTGCTTTTTTCTTTAATACTGAACACTACTGAAATGCATCACTTTGTTTCCATTGAGGTCATTGAGATATTCAGAGCGAATTCTACTGCTCAGTTGTTAAGGAAGAACAAACACTGTTAGATTCTGTAACCAGGAACACTAACCACTAAAATTCCGCTTCAAGCTCAGAACACGACATTAAGGTGTGTAAAATTTTTAAGATGAATTCCTATTATCTGCATTTAGGTGTCTTCCGCTGGAATAAGCAAATTATCATTTTTGGTAACATTTAGAAAAGTTGTTTCTTCACTCTTACAAAATTTTTGATTCCCTTTCCTTTATTACGCAAATTGAATAACAGGAAGTAAAATTTTAATCTTCAGCAATTCATTTAAGGGGGAGAGGAATTACCACATCTGTGGTGTTCTTGACAGTTCAGAGTTGGACCTGTTTTCATTCTCTACAACAGGGATATTTAGCAGAATCATCGAAAACAATTTTGACTAGCTTCACACGACAACAGACTGAATATGCAATGCATCGAGCGCTCAAGAAAAAAGTACTTTTGCCTTCTTCGCATTGAGGCATTTTATTAAAAACAAAACCAAAAAAACAAATTAAACCACTTCATGAGCAAACATGGAAGATAGAACCATCGATTTTGCAATTTACCCTGTACAAACAAATGCACTAATGCATGAGCAGACTTCTGTGGCTAATTCAGTAAACTTAATAATAACCCTGGCTAATTAGAATTAAAACGAAAATTACCATTTCAGCTTTGAACTTTGACCAGCTTATTATTTATTTGAAGTAAGATAGATCACATCGGTGAGACTTTCACTGTTCAAACGAAATGGACAATTAATGTTGCCTTGAAAAATTTGGACCTTTGCTAGCTCGCTAAAAAGATAAAGAAACACAAATTTCTTATAAGCAAACCGTCACGGCGAGTTAATAACTTAAACCTGTTTAGAAAACATTTATAAAAACAACAGAGGGCTATTAGCTGATGTACTTTAATGCCGCCTTAACATCAGGAGCTTTGCTGAAACGCCATGGAAAAAATAATCAGCATACTTCCAATGGCACTATATAAAAGAATATGAATGAACTTTAGGCCGGTCTTTTTTACGCTAGTTTCTGAAATAAAATTAGTGTTCATGCATCAACAGAGTTTCAAATAGTGCAAAATGGAAATGTGGCGTGAGCATTCAAGTGACTGATTCGACTGGTGTTGAAGAGTTCATTCATGGTATAAATAACCAGTTAGTTAAGCAGTCTGTCGAAGCGACAATGTGTTTCATTAAGAGTTCAGTACACTCCAATTAATCAGGAGCCGATTACTAATCACCGCACCAAAAGGTTTCCTGCTTACTTTGCAATCTCAGTCTCGGTGTTCCGTAAAACCAGTATCAATCTGCCTCAGCTGCTGGAATCGTCCGATAGCAAAAGTGAACTAAACTGACTGAAACGATAAGCGTGTTAAAGCACGCCATTTCATAAAGTTTCTAAACATTGACAGATCAGCAAAGTAACGAACAATGTCGTCCCACACATAGTTGGCACTGTTCTCTTCGCCACCGCCTCTATCAATTTGAAAGCGAGTGATTTCTCTGAATAAGTCACCCATGAGTATTAGTTCTCGCAGAAACCTAAAATCTTCTATGTTTGTTATACATTTTGCAAGCTCTTCCTTGACTTCGTCTAAATTAGCGTTCTCCAGGTTCAATATTCCAAGCTGCACTACATAACAAATGGCATATTCAAACTTGTCCTTCAAACCTTCAGAGCTAAAGGCGAATTTATAGACATGGTAGTCTACTCGAAGGACACTGCTATTTGATATAACCAATTGAGAAGCCATTCGCTCTGCTTCATTCCCAGTTGTGTTCTGAAGTAGCTCATTTATAAATTGCTTGGTCAGACACCAAAATTATCGCCGATTCTAGTTTATCAGGTAATTTACCCAGTGTAAATAACAACTATTCACCGAAGTGGAGGTGGCTAGTAGTAATATTTGCGACGCCGCGAAGCGGCGAGGTAAATAACCACTACTAGCCACCGACACTGAGGTGAATAATTGTTTTAGTATATACTAAAACAGTGAGATAATTGAGCACAAAATGATGATTTTTAACTCATTTACTGTTGCAAACGATTACAATTTTGGCGCACGATGACCGAACGGCAGCGGTCGTCGCTTTTTCTTAGCGACAAATAAAACTTTTGAAGGCGTTTGTTTAGCTCTTGCGGGGAAGTTTCTTCAAAAGGAGATGTGAATTCTGTTTGTATTTAAAATAATTCTGTAAAAAAGATTATTAAATTTAGTTTTAAGCTTATTTATGAACAAGTCAACTAAATAAAGTAACGCAAGACTTAAGCTTGATTTGCATTTGTAAACAAAAAACTTTTTCACCGGTTTTATCGATAACTATTTAAGTCAAAAAGACAAAGCTTCTCCTGTTAAAACTTCCAAACCGAACTTCGTCACCTTCTTCATGTATTTCGGAAATAACTTGCTTGATTAGTTGTGAAATTTCTTAGTTTGTTACGGCAGCAAACCGGGAAAGCATTTTGCTCGCAACCTACTCGAGTTTGGCGTCGCTCGCTCAGAGGAACTGGAGGTGAATCAGTGAATAGTGCAGGATATTCACTGATTGAGTAGCCAATCAGAGCGCGCGAAAAACACTATTCACTGTTTTAGTATATACTAAACATAGACTAACATTATTAGGCCTTTGAGCCCGCATCAACGATTGCATAAAGACAGTTCTAGGTTCTTTTGAGGTGTATGCTGACCTGATCTTAGTCACACTCCGTATTCAATATTTTTTGGTTAGAGGAGTCTTAAATCACATGAGAAATCTATTGTGAATGCCAATCTTCTGAGCAAAGTCGAGATTTCTTTGAAATCAGTATTTTGATAGAAGGTCGTTTTCAATACACTAAGTGAAGTGTAAGAAGTCTAACATAGACAGATATTTGGATTCAAGGTAAAGATTTTGTAGGGAAAAAAGTTAATTGGCAGCTTTATCCATCCTATTAACTCCGACTACAATTGTCGAATTCCGATAGAGTCGATCGACCTGCTAAATTAAAATCTCTGAGAAAAAAAACTAATTTACGAATAACGGTGTACACGGTCGTATAAGGGTGTCCATGAGAAGCATGAATAGATTGCTTTACATTTAATATAAAATATATAACGACACCAGTTTCCTATGAACACACTTTTATTTCATTTTGTTTTATTTTTTACACGAGTTTGTTTGGTCTTACATACTATGCCACGGAGCAAATTTTTATCCTTGTTCTTTGATTAAGTAACCTTGAAACTATATGTTGTATACGAGCCCGGGTATACGAGAAAGGGGAAACTGAAATTTTACTTAGCAGACCGACTGTAATTACTCCGTGCGTTGCAGATTTTACTGCGGCGGAGAGCTGTTTTGTTCAGGTATGAATGGTGTAAAGTCAGGAAGTTGTTTATTAAACAGTTTGGTGATCAGCAACAACTTTAAGGCTTATTTTTTCAATCACAATGGGAGTAAGTTTTTAACTTCCTCTTTTCCGCGTGTGTGGCATAATCACTAGAGACTTCGCCGTCTGCTTCTGTCAGGTATTCCTACCACTGAAGTAAGATAGTTTCCGACTTAAGATCTCGTTTATATAGTATCTTGACAGCATTGTTTCACACGTACATTAAAACTAAATATCAGTAAACACTAACTTAAAAGTATGGAAAAAAGTATAAAATGAGAACAATATCAAAATAGGTAGAAATGTCAAAATACACCCATCAATACGTGCTAAGTAACAAAAAGTTGCACGATAGAGTATAAGACTTTACTTGATAAAAACAAACTGTTCACACTTTGCAATGCTTGCGTGAAGTTGAAGACTCCAAGAAGTCATGTCGCACTAAACAACAGATCAATAACAATCAATGTAGTAAATAAAAGATACACACAGTTCACACAATCTTCACACTGTTCACTCTGTTTACTGGTTGTCTTCAGTTAAAGGCTCCTGATTCTTTTCATTTGGACACTGCGAGGAAGCTTTTCGCAGACGGCTAAGAACTTTGTAGAGATCTTCCATGAAACCTGCTTCTTCATGTAGTTTTTTGGTCATGCCTTGAATGCTGCCTTCACCCACGGCCCTGTCTAGCTCGTACAGGACGACTTGTGGATCCACTTTCTTTAGATCGAGAACTGACACTTGAACGAGGTAGCAGAATGCATTTTGCGCGTTACTTCTTAGGCCATGAGAACTGAAATCATATTTGTACATATGGTAGTCGACTCGAACAATGCTGTTATTTGCATAAACCACATGGCACTCCCTCTTTTCTTTCTCTCCCGCTGAGGCATTGCCAAGGAGCTCGTTCATTGCTGTCTTCACCAAGTGTTTAAGTCCATCCAGGAACTCTCCGCTGAAAAGGTCATCTATCACAGATCCGACATGTTCGGAGGCTCCCTCTGATACCTTAACCATGTACTTCTCGGTCTTGTCAACCACAGCAAGTATGGGCAAAGACTTATCTTGAAAGGCTTTTGCTTCCATGTCTGCAGCGTAAGCTTCGAGTTTGGCAGACAATAACTTTTGCAGTATTTCAATCGTCTCTTTCACATCTTCTTGAGGATTAGTGCCAAGAAATTCACTTATAACTTGTCCCATGTTGGATTTTGACGCTTATCAATAGGTCTTATATCTGCACCCTGAAGCTCATATTTAACTAGCTGCAAGAGTTCTGGGGGGCTTTGCTTTATACGAGCGTAAATGCTTTCACTAATTCCGCGTTGGTTAAAGGATCGGATATGACGTGAATGAAAATCTTGCGGGCATTACCTTAAAAGTCAAAACGAGCACTCTCATGGAATTTATCTTCCCATTAGGCGTTAAAGAGAAGAAAGAGCAGGATTCTGTAACCAGGAACGTCTCATTAGTTGTTTCCTGAAGCTAAGATCATGGTGCTGGATTGGAAAGAATTTTAAAACTGTTTAATGAGCAATTAACTGATCAATTCAGTGATTTTTTCAATAACAACATTCCTCCTAAAAATAACGCTGCGAGCCTCAGGCAACTGAACTGTTGTGCAATAGCAAATTCAATATGACTATCTACCTTTGAAGCCTTTGACAATCAAGGTCAATGTTTTTCTTGTAGTGATACGTTTTCGTTACCCTGATTACTTTCACCTACCTATACTTGACGAAAAAAGCTAAATGTATTACTTTGAGTTTACTTAGACATTCAAAGCCAATTCAAACAGTTGTTAAAGAAGAAAGAATATTACAATATTCTGTAACCAGGATATACGTCACTAGAAGTCAGCTTTAAAAGCTAAGAACACAACTTAATAGTTTTCCCCTGGGATTAGCAAATACCAATCATATTGTATCATTTAATAACATAAATCAAACTTCACTTTTGTTATATAAACTTACTGTACCGTAAATCCTCTATTACGCCCCCCAATCAAATAAGCCACCCCTCTCTCTAAACCCACCCTCCTTTTCAGGGAAAGAAACTTGATACCCCCCCTCTCTTTTAAGCCAATACCCCACCCCACCCCTCCCCTTCATCATTCTTCACTTCACTATTTTAATCAATCACGACTGTAAAACTTCATGAGGACATATCCAGGTTGGTTTATAATGGTAATTGAACTAAGTGGAGTGCAATTTGGTCTGAAATCATACGCGTGATTTCAAAATCGAACGAGCACGCAGCGCGAGTTTGATTTGAAATCACAAGTATGATTTCAGACCAAAATTGCACGACACGAAGTTCAATTACCACTTTATTACATCCATTTTGAAATCGCAGAATTTAGTCAGTACTAATATTTTATTGATCGAGTAGCCGGACTGTTAAAAAGCCGAAACAAAAAGGCTTTTACATCTCATTTTGTATTCGAAACAGAAATGATGCGATATAGAACAAAAATGGTGCGATTTAAAACAGAAATGATGCGATTTAGAACATGAATGACGCGATTTGGAACAGATGCGATTTAGCGCAAAAAATGGTGCGATTTAGGAATAAATCATACTGCTGAGAGCCAATCAGATTACACGGATAGCCAGTGATTTCAAAGTGGATGTAATAAATTCATCAACTGTTTCGCATTGTTTTTGATCCTCAGCTGCACGACCTTCAGTTTCTTGTACTTGAGCTTTTCCATCTTGTATTCTGGTCTCGGGACCACTGATACCATAGTCTTGGCTAAATTAAATAAGTCCCCCCTCTCAAATAAGCCCCCGGTCTCTATTAGGATGTTTGTATTTGCGCAGTATAAATAAATGAATTCCAGAAATTTATCTATTTTTATTGATCACGAAAATAATAGCAGCATTGATATCTACAACTTCTACGATAGGTTTTCAAACTAATGGGTTAAGTCAAATATAATACGGTATACAGTTAATATCATTTACAAATATCTTTAGCTAGGCGCTCCACTTGGGCTTTAGTCAAGGATCGATTCTTAAGGTCCACTACAAGTTCATGAGAGTCTACTGGTTGACTAGAAATTTCGTCCAACTCTGGTTTATTCACTCGTTTAGATGTTCCCACGGAGAAAAACTGGATTCTTCTTTGCTTCAGCTGGTCTGTTAGCTCTTTTGTTTCCTCAAATCCTAAGCTACTGAATCCGTCTGTTATGATGACAACAATTCTTTTTAAATCTGCGAGAAGAACAGTGTCATATAAAGCTACGTACAAACGGAGGCAACAACTCCCAACATTGTTGGCCCAACAATGTTGGCAGTTGTGGCGTCCTTTTTCACGTAGCTAAAAGTTTGACCGGGGGTTTCAAACTTTACGAAACAACACACAACAACATGCAATAGGGTGTGCAAACGGACGCAACATGCGGTAACATCCAGCAATGTCAGTTGCGTCCGTTTGCACACGGGGCTTAAGAATGAAGAAGGGAACTAGAGCCGAAATGAGTCCCGCAGTTGGTTCTGGGATCGTTACTGGTGACACGCTGGACAACTATTGGCTGAATTTTCGCTGTCCCTGGTAACAGTCCCAGAAGTCTTTGCGAAAGTCATCTCGTCCCAGTTTCCTTCTTATTTTTGAAGTGGCGAATTACACTACAAGTGAATTAACGAGTGAAAGGAGGGGGGATGGGGAGTGAGGCTAGGTATTCAGAAAGTTGCCCTGTCTGAGCTTGCACTTCATGTAAACTACACTTTTTTTCTCGGGCGTGGTAGGATGTTTCGGGTCGACACACCTTCGGCCGAAGCCCAAACCGGCAACTATGCAGAAAAAATAAAAATGAATTAGAAACTAACCGGCCACTAAGCTATTTTTCCTAAGTTTACGAGGTTGACGGATTGACAAGTAGATAAAAGGGACGCTTAGAAAATATCAAATAGTGTGTCTTTTTTTAGGTTGAGTATCAATTCTTGTTTGTCTCATCCTTAAATATGGTCAGGGTTTAGGACACTAATCGGCACACATCTAACCGCGGGCAATAGTGGCTATTGCCCAAGTTTTAATTTCAACATAAAAAGTTGTAAATGCATTAGAGAATGGGTGCATTAAGTACCTTTACTAGGAGCTCTTGCCCCGTAAGGTTTGTTGAAGGTACGTTCCCGTAAAGTTTCAAGGGCAAAATCCATTCTCGTGAAGGATCCTTCATAGTCGAGTCCATTTATGGCCTTTAAAACAGATTCCCTGGACGTATCATCTTTGAAATCCTTTTTCGTGTGAACGTACTGGCTGAATGAAATAGCAGCCACGTTTGCCCTTTTCTTCGAAATATCGAAGTGTTTTACGAGTTCCGCAGCAAATTCCTTGGTAGCAGCAAATTGGGCTTCTGTGACACTCGCTGAGCAGTCCACTAATATTGCCAAGTCAATCTTTTCATGACATCTGAATTCACCATCTATATACCAAAAATACAGACTAAATAATGCTGGTCCTCTTCATTATCTTCAGTGAGTGAAAGGAGGTCACTCTGAGCTAAGGAAGACAAATTCTAGTTCTCAAAAAAGCTTTAATATGTACAAAAGTAAAGTATAACGCAGTTAATTTTTTTTTTCTGATTTCTATTGAGTACAAAGTTTGCACAATTATATGAAAGCACAAGTTAAAACTTATAATTAATACAGCAAAAATATGCAATTTTTTAGACAGCACGTTTTGCTGGTTACAATGGGGGATAAATTGCTCATATATTTACGGTCAGGAAACCCCCTTAAACAAATAAGGGGATTGTTGGTGGATGCCCTTGCCCTACCCCCCTTCGCCTCTCAGATTTTCAAATTGGTTTTAAGCCGCCCTGCGAGCAGAGCTTCCTTTTTAAGTAAGAAAAAGAAAAGGATGTCTTCACGTGAATGTGTAACCCTTTGAAATCACTGAAGGCCGAACGTCTGCAGTATTCTATCTAGTGTTCTCTTTCAGTCAAACTGGTGATGATGATGATGATGATGATGATAAACTTTATAATATGGACTGAATTCGTTCATATGTAGCTTTTTCTCACTTACTTGCTAGTACGATAAACCAACCAAGGAACGCTGTAAAGATTATCATGATAAGCTGAAATAAAGAGTAATAAGTCACTTAGTTTGAGACAAAGATAAAAAGCGAGAACAAGGCTGACGTCACAGCCCTGGTACACTGGATCTCGCCAACTGTGACTTAACGGACAGCAAATACTCCAAACTTCTTGAACCATCGTAGAACCTTTAATCTTCCTCACACGAGGACTAAAACATAACCGACTAATCTTGAATATTTACAGAGCACTTGCTTTATTTTGAGAATTAACATTGCACACCGTGATTAAAAGTACAACTGCGTGGCACGCGACTACGTGTGGAATCAAAGTACTGAGTTTACCAAAATCTGCTTAAGTAGCATTTTACATTGTAAGAACTAGTTGAGTGACAGCTTAGAGAGACTTCTCTTGAAAGGAAACTCCTCTAAAGTATATGTACGAAGAGAGAAAAATTTTCTTCCGTGAGTAACTTAAGGCAAAATAAATGATGACTATAAGTCTATGAAAAGAATTGGAAATTCAACGAAACTGTTTAAATATTCTTTTGACTATAATTCGCGGCCTATTGAATTGAGGAGGTGCAACTTCATTGAGTAACTTGCAGAAAACAATTATCCAGGAATAAAGTTTAGAAGCAATAAGGAAAGCAGGGTAATGTGAAACTTACGAACAAATAGATACAGAGAAGCTACAACGAGAATAAATGCGAATAAACAGAGAAAATTCCAAAAAGTCCAAAACTTATATAATATCTCCCGCGACATAATTAAACAGTCAAGTTTGCTATGGCATTTCCTCAAGATCTAGAATGTTAGTTCAATGTCTACGTCCTTCATTTCTCTCCCCCTACATCATACTGAATCTTTTTGGAAATATCTTTTAACAACGTCCCCGAATTAGGCCCCTTAATACTTTTTTCTAGCAAATATACCTTGATCATGAAAAAATGCCACAATTTTGCACCATGGAAAATCTGTCAAGGACAGCGGGATTGGGTGGTAGTTTTAACTCTACTTACCACGAAGTTCAAATCAACGAGATTTAAAGTCGACAGAAACAACTCGGTTAAAGAGCGGAAGCACAGGTTTAAAAATATTGACTCAATGTAAAAATTAACGGCAAATTAGGACCTGCTCACAGCTCCAATGGAACCATTAGGATGCTAATTGTTTAGGACAACATACCACCTGATTTTTCCACTTGACTGAAAACACCAGTAGTCTTCTAGACAGGGTGTCTAACACAAAACATCGCGTCAAAAAATCGTGTCCTAAGCTGCTTTCAATTTTATCAACCTTTATATCTAAACATCGCTTGCTGAGCAGACTTGAAGTCCAGGCTAGAAAACCAGTTTCTTGGAATAAATCACCCCTGGAAGAACTTTGAACGGATGTTCAAAACGGTGTTTTTGTTTAAAATTAATAACCAGCCCCTTTTGTTTGCTTGTATAGTGTAAATATTTGACAACATATTTTAACGCAAGGTTAAGTGCCTGTCAGTTTATGTATTTTTCTGGTACAAATATTTATCTATTGTTATAAACGTTTCAATGACAACCTCTTTCTATAACGGTTTGCTGGTAATTTTTGGCAACCACGCTCGCAGTGAAATGATTCACTGCTGAAAGAATGTCTGTTGAATGACACACCCGGCTAGTATAAGAGGGACACAAATTATATGAGTTAGATTGAAAAAAAAAACTATCTAATAGTTAACACTATAGTAGTGATACTTTCATAACTTAGTGTAGGTAAGTTGAGAGTTTTTTTAAGGATTGCCCACTCCACGGCGTTGCTCCTTTAACGTTTTCTTCACGAAGTCTTTAAGTCTCGCCAGGAACTCGACCTTCTTGTTCAAAGGCCCCCGTAATACCTTAACCATGTATTTCTCGGTCTCGATAACCACAGCTTGTATGGGCAAAGAGTTGTCCTCAAAGGCTTTAATACTTCCATTTCTGTAGCGTAAGCTTCGAGTTTGGAAGACACTAACTATTGCGGTAATTGAAGTGTCTCTTTCACATCTTCTTCAGGATCATGACAGCCAAGAAATTTACTCGTATGTTGTCCGATGTTAGATTTTGAGGCTCACCAGCAGGTTCTGTATCTGCAACCTATTAAGCCTGTATTGTGAGTTTGGGGGCTGCTGTTAGGCCCGGTTCAGACGCCGAACTTTTCATGAGCCGAACCTAATACACTCAATTAAGTATATGAAAAGTTCGGCGTCTGAATCATTTAAAAACGCCTGTTTCAATTTGGAACGGCTCAGCCGTTCTTTTCGCCTGGCCCGGCCGGGAATTTCGCCTTTGGAGCGACATTAATAGAAAGGCTTTGATTCAGTCGCCGAACTTTTCATGTATCGAACCTAATGCATAAATTATTATGACGTATTTTGAAAGTAGTTTCACCGAAATGAGCATTTTTCTCCTTTTGAATTTAGTTCGGCTGGAATTAAGATCGGTGTCTGAATAAATTCAGCCGGACTAAATAATTTGGGTCGGCCTTAATTCGAATTAGTTTCGGCTCATGAAAAGTTTGGCGTCTGAACCGGGCCTTATGCCCATTTGAAAACTGTTTACTGTTTTTTTTATTTGCGCGATATAAATTAACGAATTTCAGAAATTTATCTATTTTTATTGATCACGGAAATAATCGCTGTATTGATCTCTACAACTTCTACGATAGGTATTCAAACTAATAGATTAAGTCAATTATAATACGGTATACAGTTAGTATCATTTACAAATATCTTTCGCTAGGCGCTCCACTTGGGCTTTAGTGAAGGATCGATTTTTAAGGTCCACTATAAGTTTATGAATGTCTACTGGTTGACTGGAAATTTCGTCCAACTCTGGTTTATTCACTCGTTTAGACGTTCCCACGGAGAAAAACTGAACTCTGCTTTGCTTCAGCTGGTCTGTTAGCTCTTTTGTATACTCAAATCCTCGTGTGCTGAATCCGTCTGTTACAGCGACAACAACTCTTTTTACATCTGCGAGAGGAAGAGTGTCCCCACTCAGAAACGATAAAGGAACTGTTTTTGGGATCGCTACTGAGTTCGCGCTGGTCAGCTATTGGCTAATTGTTCCCTGTCCCTAAAAACAGTCCCAGAGGTCATTTCGAAAGTTAACTCGTCCCCGTTTCCTTCTCGTTTTGAAAGTGGCGAATTACTAATCTCAGATCTCTCTGGGTACGAGGTTAGCGAAAAACACGACAAGTAAATAAATTCTGTCATTTAACGAGGGTCTCAATGGGGTGGTGGCTTTGACGTTGACGGTAATTATTTCTTTTCAGATTTTGACGGTTGACGGTTAAATTTTAGAGCTTCTGACGGTTGATGGCTATAAAGGGACGGACCTTTAGAAAAGTTATGAGGTGGGGGGGGGGGAATTTTCGAGCAGCATGAATTTTGTTTCTTTAATGTTTCCATTAAATGAATATTTTTTTTTTTGTCAAGATGTCCACTTAAAGTGGAAATTTAGTCCAAGAGTTTAAGTAAATATTAATTTCTATATAAATTGATATTAACTGTTTTCTTTTGGAGGCTGTCAAGGCCTTTCACTTACAAAAATTCGAAATGTTTTCAGATATAAGCAAACTGTAAGGTTTTGCAAGACCTGTAATGCCTCGAAAAAGTGTTTTTGACAACTTGGGAACAGGTTTTTTTGACTTTAGAGTTTGTTCAGGATCCAGAAGTCCGTGAACATCAGCTTAAAATGTGAGATTTTGAATTCATTGAAACTTTTGGACGGTTAATTTTAGTCTGCACTTTTGACGGTTGAAGGTAAAAAAATAACTTTTTCCTCGGCTGACGGTTGAACTTTAGGCCGTTTGACAGCTGACGGTTAACCCCATTGAGATCCTCTTGAACCGGCAAGGAGAGGGCGGGGGATTAGCGAATTGCCCTGTCTGGGATTGTACTTCATATAAACTACCCTAGACTGCGAGCAGTCTCTCTTTTTGTTCAGATTTAGTGAGAGCATTGCACGTGCCCGGGAACGGCGAAGCCGTGAGACGCGCAAAACGAGGGCGGCCCGTCTCGCGCCTTCAGTCACGCGCGTGGCCATTTGCGTGTCTCGCGTTTTGCTTGACGGACTACAGAAAAAAGAGAGACTGCTCGTAGTGTAAAACTACCCTGAATACCAGAAGCTTTTTCCCTTACGTGGCGGGATGTTTCAGGTTGACAAGAGTCATTGATAATGGTTCTTGGTTCGACACATCTTCCATTGAAGGATTACTCTTGACCCAAACCAGCAACTTGGCATGAAAAGTTATGATAAATTATCAACTAACGGGCCACAAACTTTGTTCTTAATTTTACCAGGTTGACAGATTGACTTTGCCAAGCGGCCGCGAATAAATGGGAAGCTTAAAAAATATAAATGAATCATCTTAATACGGTGTCATTTTTCAGTACCAATTATAAATTAACTGGCAGCAAACTGATCCTTACGGGAGGAAGAGTAAGCGAAAAAAATAAAGAAATAAAACAAAAATAAAAATAATGGTGAATTATATTTGCCCGATATTTCGGTTTGCATCACAAACCTTCGGAGGTGGCTTAAAAAGAAAAAGCTGTTTTAATTCATAATTTGGTATTGAAATTTATTGATCCTGATGCAGCTGACCCTTTCTGGTTTGTCCCGGCTGTGGTTTTGCCTTGACAAGTGTTTTTGTCATTTTTTAGGTTCAGCATCAATTTTCGATTGCCTAGCCTCATCCTTTAATTAAGTCAAGTTTTAGGACCCTAAGTGGCACACATTTAACCGAAGTTTATGAGTATACCCCCTCCTTTGGGTAGGAATCGCCGTCGCCGGCAAATTTTAATTTCAACATAAAAAGTTGGAAATGCATTTGAGAATGGGTGCATTAAGTACCTTTACTTGGAGCTCTTGCACCGTAAGCTTTGTTGAAGGTACGTGCCTGTAGAGTTTCAAGGGCAAAATCCAGTCTAGTCAAGGATCCTTCATAGTAGAGTCCATCTATCGCCTTCAAGACAGATTCCCGGGACGTATCATCTTTGAAATCCTTTTTCGTGTGAACGTACTGGCTAAATGAGATAGCAGCCACGTTTGCCCTTTTCTTTGAAATATCGAAGTGTTTTACGAGTTCCGCAGCAAATTCCTTGGTAGCGGCAAACTGGTCTTCTGTGACACTCGCTGAGCAATCCACCAATATTGCCAAGTCAATCTTTTTGTGACATCTGAATTCACCATCTATATACCAAAAATCAAGATCAAAAAATGCTGATCCTTCGATTTATCTTCAGTAAGTGACAGGAGTTCACTCTGAGCTGGTGTTATTCTAAACACAGGAAGATTTATGCTCCTTCAGGGCAAAAAGCTTTTATATGTTTAAAAAGTAGAAGATAAGGCAGTTAAAAGGTTTTCGTCGTAAAAGCGCTGCTTACTGATTTGATCTGTCGAGTACAAAGTTAGCACAAAGAAATGAAAGCACACGTTAAAACGTTTGCTGATTGCATGCAATGGAGGATAAATTGCTCATTTATGGTCAGGAAAGCCCTTGAACTAACAAAGGGGTTCTGGGTCGATGCCCCTTCCCCCTCTCCTCCACCTCTCGGATTTTAAAAGTGGTTTTAAGCCCCCCTGCGAGCAGAGCCTCCTTTTGTCTTCTCTTGAGTGAGAGGAAGAAAACGGATGGCTTTATGTGAATGTGTCAAGCCTTTGAAGTCACCGAAGCCCAAACGTCTGGACTCATCAATCTAGTGTTGGCTTTCTGTCGAACTGGTTTTCGGAGTGCGAGCATCCGTTTATTGATAATCCGCTAATAATTGAGCCCGCTGTACCAAGCACACGGCTCTTAGGCCTGAGTTCAAAAATGTATCCCAGCAACAAGCAGCACATGCTCAACAAAGATTTTTCTCGATTCATGTAGAGCCTCACTTGTAGGTCAAAATCGAGCAAGTGAAAGAAAGGCTCTGCTAAGAGGGTGGTTTTAGGGTAGATGGTCCTTCTATTCAGCGACGGCCCCTAGTTCCATATCCCACAACTGTGGGAAAAGACCATGACCTCCCCTTCTTCACCACCACCACCACCACCACCACCACCTAAACAAGCAAGAAAATGTCAAAAAAAAAATTTAGTCTCGAAATTTAACCGCAAAGTGATGATTATAGTGATGTTGATATCCCCGTTTTCTTAGGTGAAACATGGTGGACTGACAGTGAAGAAACGTCGACTGATAGTGACAGAGTGGATGTTAATGAAAGTGACAGTAGTGACACTAAACTAGAAAGACCAGCAAAAGAAGGTGATGTGGGCGAAGTGCCATACGTGATGCATTCCAATGATTAACGGATTGATGGATTATGAACAATAATAATCATAATAATTATTATTATTCATTCAAAATATTTCCCCAATTCTGATTGGCTAAAAGCACACTCGTAATTCACCATAACCAGTTACTGATGACCAAATTTGGAAGAATTTTGTGTTTAACGAGGAAATGACTTAAAAAATGCAGCCTTCTACAGGTCAATACACCGTTAACCGAGAAGACCTGGGGACGAGATTGAGTTGTTTTCGTTGTAAAAACTAAAATGGTGGACACTTTACTCGCTTCAAGAGTAAGAACTATAGCTGGAACTAGGCGAAATAATGGCTAAGAACATAGCAAAAACAGGGAGAAGACGACTCGGAGGGCGACATCTGCTGTTTGGAGAATGTTTGCGGAGCTGGACAAATCTAAACGTGCACTATCGAAGATAAACTCAACATCCATGCAGGTAAGCATGTTTTAGCTCTGTTTTTAAACTAGGAATGATTTTGAATGAATGATAAAGCAATTAATGAATTCGGCTTTCGTAGGATATGAGCTGAATTAAGCAGATAACACCCGCCGAGATCTGCTTAATTCTTCATATCCTTCGAAAGCCGAATTCATTAATTGCTAAATAATTCCTTTATTTACCCTCGGCAGTATTTCTAGCACTTATGCTAGCGGGGCCGAGCAAATGACTGCAGAATAAGCAAATGATTCAAATCAAACATAACAGGGTTAAGAACCCTAACTAGCCGGAGGCAAACCGGAAGGCTATTTATTTTGGTCGAGGATTTAAACTCGGGACTACCACGAACAAATCCGGCTAGCGGTCAGAGCGGGACTTGAACTCGGGGCCTCCGAATCACAATTCCAGTTCTCTGACCGCTCGGCCACTCTGCCTCCTAAACTTTGAACTTTAGCGCACAATCTCTCTCCTCCACAGAGGCTCCCGGGAAGAGTGAAAGGCGCGACATTACGAGTCTTCGTAGCCAATAACATCACGGCTTAACTGAAAGGCGACCAATAACATCGCGACTTAATTGACCAATCAGGTCAATAACCTGAGTTTAATATCATCAACTGACGTGATACAACTCTCTTTGACTTTCTGAAGATGACTACCGCACGTGCACAGGTTGTCGAAACGTCAGTCACTGAACAACAACAGTCCTATTCAGGACTGCGTTCACCCGGGCGATCAACCTACTTTAAAATGACCGCTGGGTTCAAAACTTTCCCAGTTTTAATGATATTTGTGGATATGGTTATATTTACGAGCTTCAGCTACATTTAATTTCTTTTGACAGAGCCTTTTGCTGAATACGTAAGTAAACGCATTTGGAGGTTTTATTGAAACTTTTTCAAGGTCCTCTTTTATACTTTCAGTCAAATCGGTAAAAACTTTCCATAGCCTCGCCGGAAAAAATTAACCGAAAAAAACCGTGTCCCCCTAATAAAAATCGACCCCCCTCCTCTACAAAAATTATGAACCCTCCCTAAGGGCCTCTTCAGGATGGAAAAAAGGCTGAAATATTACAGGGTCCTTTAAACTTGAGACGAGACACATTAAGCCCTGGCAAGTTATATTGACACTCTCCGTTTATGACAAATTTCGACTAGAAACGTTTACCGGTAAAAATTTCCCTTTGTAAAGAATAACGGCTAAGGGTCTTGGCTGCCAGTTTAAGGCTAAAGATGAATAATTTTGAACCCTTAAATTGTGGACTGAGTTTGTCACTCACTTGCAAGTACGATAAACCAACCAAGGAACAATGGAAACATTATCATGATTAGCTGAAATAAAGAGTAAAATGTCAGTCAGTTTAAGACAAAGAAAAAACTAAAGTGGCATTTGAGAACAGCCCACGTACACAGTCAGGATCTCACTAACCGTGACATACGGACAGCAGATACTCCAAACGTCTTGAAGCAGCCGGGTAAAACCATAGTTTAATCTTGCTCACCCGAGGACTGAAAAATAGCCGACTGATTTTTACAGGGCACTTGCTTATGCAGTACATTGTACACTATTCGTTATAATTTGTTAAAAGTACATCTGCGTGACACGCGAATACGTGTAGAAACAATACTGAGTTTTACCAAAATCCGTTTACGTAGCATAAGTGTTAGAATAACTGAGTTAAGTGACAGTTTAGACAAACTCCTCTTGAAAGGAAAATAAGGTAATAATCAGGGGCTCCCAACGAGAATATAGCTCAAAACTACTTAAACATAGCTTGTTAAACGCATTGGAGCATTTAAACGGTAGAATAATTATAGGCGTATTTTTATCCCCTAAAAATTTTTCATCTGTTTGGATTTCCTAGCTGAAAGTCTAGTGATCCGAAAATTATAGGGATCAAAACTTACCTTTTCTAAAGTTTTAGCCAGAAAAAAGACTCCCAAAAATTCTAGGTGACCTTTTCAGCCGGTAAAAGTCCGTTAAAAATGGGCAATTATACCATTTTTCAGACGTTCGAAAATCCTAGGAGAGGTAAGCAAGCAAGAATTTTACAAAAAATGTTCCGAAAATTCTAGATGTCAAATCGTCTCCAGAACAGATATTTTCCGAAAATTGACGTTGGGTGCCCTTGAAGAATTATTGTTTACAAGTAACTAAAAACACAGAAAATGATGACTATGAAAAGAACTGAAAATTCAAAGAAACTAAAATTAATATTCTTTTGACTAAAAATTCGCCTATTGTAACCGTATGTAGAAGTACAACTTCATTTGAATAACTTGCAGAAAACTATTATCCATGAATAACGTTTAGAAGTAATAAGGAAAGAAAGATAATGTGAAGCTTACGAACAGAAAGATAAGAAGAGGCGAAAACGAGAAAAAATGCGAATAAAAAAATAATATACAAACTCCAAAAAGTTCGTTCAATGTCCCCCATTTCTCTCCCCCTCTCTTACGTTAATCGCGGAATAATTACCATACATAATACTGCATCTTTTTAGAAAAATGTTTTAACAACAGGCCCCTTAGCAATTTTCGTTAGCAAATATATCTTGATCATGAATCAAAATAACATAGTCTTGTACCACTGAAAATCTGTCAAGGAAAGCAGGATTGGATGGTAATTTCGGCAGTACTTACCTCGATGGGCAAATCAATAAGATCACTTAAGAATCGACAGAACCAACTCGGTTAAAGAGAAGAAGCACAGGCTTAAATCCCTTGACTCAGAGGCAACTGAAGGCAAAAAATTACGGCAAAAGGACCTGCTCACAGTTCCTACCGCAACCGTTAGGAGGCTAATCTAGGGCAACATTCCACCCGCTGTTTTGGCACTTGAGTGAAAGTACCTGTACCCTTTTAAACAGTGTGTTTAACAGAAAATATCGAGTCAAAAAAATCATGTTCTAAGCTGTTTTCATTATTATTTGCCCTTATATCTAAACATCGCCTACTGAGAGGGCTTGAAGTCCAGGAGAGAAAACCATTATCTTGGAATAAGCCACTTCAGTGTGTGGAAGAACTTAGCGCGGATTTTCAAAAGCGGCGTTTTTGTTTTAGTATTAAACCGACACCTTTTTTGGGGGTGTATATTTACCTATTGTGCTAAACAATAATAACGTTTCAATGGCAACCTCTTTCTATAACACTTTGCTTGTAGTTTTTGGCAACCACGTTCGCAGTGAAATGCTTCACAGCTAAGAATACTACTACTAATAGTAATAGTAATAATATAATTACAATAATAATAATGGCAATAAAAATGATGATGTTAAACAATAAAAATGTAAGCAATCGTAAGAAATTTACCCGATCAACAGACACCTTCTCCTGTCATGAATTCGGTGTGTCTTTTTGCAGGTTGCAGAGCCTTACGGTGTGATACGCAATGGTTTGACGTCTCAACCTTGACTGGTCTTTTAATGGAAATTACCAGGAAATAGCTCCTGTTCTTGTTTTAGATAATTTCTGGCTTATTTCTCGTAATCTCAACCGAATTCATATTGTAGATCGTATTGCTTAAAAGTGAAAAGTATTTGAAATAATAATAGTAAAGATATTTCCTGGTCACATCATAACTGTATTGATTCTTCAAGTTGTAAATGACCTGTAAGAGGTTGTTAGCCACCCGCGGTGTAATCACACTCGTAAGGTTATGTTTTTGGCATCGGATAGTTAATTCATAAGAAAGATTAGCCAATAATATTCGCAAAAGACGTTTGATACCTTTTTATAGATCGACTACTTGACATAATTTTCAAACTACAACAACTTTAGAGCCTTTCTAACTAGTATTATGAAAATTCTATTTAGAAATAAACACCTTGTAATTTTCATATTGTCCTCCTTGTTCTATATTAAGACTAGACAACTCTAGCTTCCCACGCAGGATTTTTTAGGGAAGCTCGTTTTCACGCTAGCCGGTGTACAGACGTCCCCCTCCCTCAGAAAGGGAGGGGGGACGTCTGTACACAGGCTAACAAACGCCGGCTCAGCCGAAAACAACATTCCTTAATCCCATTGTTTTATTTGCGTGGTAAGTGACCAATAAACAGTTGCATGTGCAATAACGTGTTGACAGGCTAAACGCAACTAAAACGTGACCCTCGAGTTACCTTTTTCCTTCTTTTCTTTCCTTCGCTAAGGTTATCAAGTGTATGGAGTATTCTAAAATTTGACTAAATCTGATTTTAGCCGTTCTGAATCTAACATTATTAGAGGTCAGAAAGTTTTTCCAGTGTTTCATGCAGATCGAGTAATTATGAGATTACCTTTGCGGTCAAGGTCAACTTGGAAAGTACAATGTGATTGGCTAAGCATGGGAAAGGAATGTTGTCTTCGGTTGAGCAGGCGTTTGTGGGGAGGGATGAAAAGCGAGCTCCCTTAAAAACGCCAGCGTGGGAGGCTAGGGCAACTTAGGCTTTAAGTTGAAATTTAATAAAGAAAGAAAACCTCTTGGCAAAATCAATAACTCGATCACAGGTTATGCTAATGAGTCTCTTCAGAGGCAATCGCGGAGGACGTACATTCAATCACAGAAGACGTACATTCATTAATTTAGATTAAGCAGGTGGGTTTTCTGGTCATTATAAAAAGGAGGTGCACAACGTAATCGAGAGAGTGAATTGGAGCTAGCAAGTAGTGAAATTCATAACTATTAAACTTAAGGAAGTTTAAAAGAAGAAGTCACATCTCATATCTTGATGAAGAACCTGCTAGTTGCCCCTCAAAAGTTCTTCTCACAAAACATCTATAACCTTTTAGACAGGGTGTTTAACGGAAAATAACGTATAAAACAAATCACGTTTTAAGCTGTTTTCAATTTTATCAACCCTTATATTTAAGCATAGCTTGCTGAGAAAGCTTGAAGTCCAGGCTAGAAAACCAGTACGGACGAAAATAACAGTATGGTAACAGTATGGGCGAAGACTTGTCTTCAAAGGTTCTTGCTTCCATTTCTGGAGCGTAAGTTTCCAGTTTGGAAGACACTTACTGCTGCAATATTTAAAGTGCAAGTCTTTTGACATCTTCTTCAGCATCACCTCTAAGAAATTCACTTATAAGTTGTCACATGTCAGGTTTTGATGTTCATCATGGCTTTTTTATCTGCAGACTAAAAGTATCAATGCTGGAATGGATGCGCCATAAGAGGCTGCATTTCAAAATTAAGTGTCAGTTCCCTGGAGGTGCACGCCGAGGTACTTACAACATGTAGTGGTGTTGATGGCAGAACCATTAACTGAGAGCTTGACTTGCGGCCTTGAAACACATTCAGTCGTTTAACGTTACCAAACAGCATCACCTCATATTTTCCTTTCTTCAGATAAAGATAAGTTCATTAACACGAAACCAGTTAGATAACAAGAGATTATGCAAGCCCTGGGAAAGTTTGCTTTGTATCTCATCGATATCACTTGAGGATGTATAATTAGCACAGGCGATAATCTTACAATGACGAAGAGGACTATGCACATCATTGATGAAGGTGAGAAAAAGGAGCGGTCCTAAAATACCTTCTTAAGGAACTCCCAGAGTCATATTGCATTTGGTTCAAAAAGCACACCAGTAAATTGAACGATCTGTTTGCGAAGGAATAAATTATCAATAAACCATAATGTAGTTCCATATCATATACGTAAAAAGTGTTTTTCTACTTATTCATTTTTGACAGGATTTGCTGAACGTATCTAAACACTTGCGTAAGAGTACGCTATTAAGTAATTGATCTTTCAAGTAGCGAGATAGTATGAAATAGGTGAAAAACTGGTTATGTTTCTAAAAGTTTATCAGCTTTTTAAATTAATTTTGCCTTTTAGAAACGTTGTGTCAGTTAATCGAGTAGAACATTATTATGACACTGGAAATGTGTCTTTTCAAATCTTTTAGTAGGTCGAGTGATTATCGTTTGGCACGCACAAGGTATCTATCTCTCCAACAGATGCTAAAAGGGAAGAAACAACAGGATTCTGTAACCAGGAGCAGATTATTAATTTCTTCCCGACACTAAGAGTCTGGTACAATTAATAAGAAAAGTTTTAAACATTTGTCATGGACTATGTGAAAATGGTACATTGTAACGTTTTCTTTGTGGTTTCGTTATTTTTTTTCCATTCGTTGAAGTGCGCATTTGAAAACCGTGTTCATCTGTTTAGAATGTGCGCAATATGAATTAATAAATTTTAGAAATTTAGCTATTCAACAAGTCACTGATCATCCAAGGGGGAAGTATCCAACAAAGTCTTAGACGGTGAAGTTCCGCCCCGAGGTCTCACCCCTTACAAATCAGTACAGAAAAGATACCCCTTTCGTACACCTCTGGTGACAAATAATTCCCCTTTTACATACACCAAGTTTAGAACGCATCCCTTTTAACTGCTGTAAATGCTCTGTCTTTTATTTATGAGTAAATCACAAAATCTAACATTTTCTCGACGTGTTCACAGCTATGAAAGCGTCTCTTGGTCCTTTTGAGACATTTTACAAACCAAAAGGCATATTTACCTACCCTTTCAAAGACTGATCATGAAGAAAACAATTTTTTTTTATCTCCAAGGCAACTTCTTAAGGTAAAGAATCAAGAGGCCTAGTGACCGTTTTATTCACAAATATCTTTAGCTAAGCGCTCCACTTGAGCTTTAGTGAAAGATCGATTTTTAACGCCCACTATAAGTTTATGAATGTCTACTTGTCCACTAGACATTTCGTCCAACTCTGGTTTATTCACTCGTTTAGAAGTTCCCACGGAGAAAAACTTGACTCTGCTATGCTTCAGCTGGTCTGTTAGCTCTTTTGTATACTCAAATCCTCGTGTGCTGAATCCGTCTGTTATGGCGACAACAGCTCTCTTTACATCTGCGAGGAGAACAGTGTCACTACTTAAGAAACGTTAAGGGAACTGGAGCCGAAATGCATGCCGCAATTGTTTCTGGGATTGTTGTTGAGTTTCCTATTGGCCATGGCTAATTTTTTCCTATCCATAGCAACAATCTTAGAAGTCTTTGCGAAAGTTAAATGGTGAATTACACGACGAGTGAATTAACTCCATTGATAATGAAAGGAGCGGGCGTAAGAATTCAGGGAATTGCCCTGTCTAGGTTTGCAATTCATATGAACCGCCCTTAAAACCTGAATTTTTTTCCTCAAGCGGGCGAGATGTTTTTTGGTCGACAAATCTTTGGTCAAAGGATTAGTTCTTATCCCAACCGGCAACTTGGCATAAAACCTTATGATGAATTATGAACTGACGCACCACCAAACTTAAAAACTACAAATGAATCACTTTAATAAAGTGTCATTTTCTGGGTTGAGTATCAATTTTTCGTTTGTCTTATCCTTAAAAATGGTCAGGATTTAGGGTCCTAAATCGGCACACATCTAACCGAAGTTTATCGGAGTAGCCCCTCGGGGGATGAATCACTGTCGCACATGTTTCAATTTCAACATCAATCCTTGAAAATGCATTAGAGCACTTGCACGTTAAGTACCTTTACTAGGAGCTCTTGCCCCGTAAGCTTTGTTGAAGGTACGTCCCTGTAAAGTTTCAAGAGCAAAATCCAGTCTAGTCAAGGATCCTTCATAGAAGAGTCCATCTATCGCCTTCAAGACAGATTCCCGGGACGTATCATCTTTAAAATCCTTTTTCGTGTGAACGTACTGGCTGAATGAGATAGCAGCCACGTTTGCCCTCTTCTTTGAAATATCGAAGTGTTTTACGAGTTTCGAAGCAAATTCCTTGGACGCAGCAAACTGGTCTTCTGTGACACTCGCTGAGCAGTCCACCAATATTGCCAAGTCAATCTTTTTATGACATCTGAATTTACCATCTTTAAACCAAAAAGAATTCAATAATTCAATAATAATAATTAATTCAATAATTCTGATAAGTGACAAGCCCTGAGTCTTGTGTTATTCTAAACAAAGGAAGATTGATGCTCCTTCATGGCACCAAAGCTTTGATAAAGCAGCTGTAATTTTTTTTGTCGTAAATACACTGCTTACTGATTTCTGTTGAGTACAAGGTTAGCGCAATGAAATAAAAGCACAAGTTAAAACTTATAATGAATCCAGTAAAAATGCAATTTTTTATACAGCACGTTTTACTTGTTACCATGGTGGGATAAATTGCTCATATACTTATGGTCAGCAAACCCCCTTCAATTAATAAGGGAGTTGTGGGTGGACGGCCCTTCCCCCCTCTCCTCCGCCTCTTGGATTTTCAAATTGGTTTTAAGCCGCCCTGCGAGCAGAGCCTCTTTTTGTCTAGTTCTCAAGTGAGAAGAAGAAAAGGATGGCTTTGTGTGAATGTGTCAAGCCATTGAAGTCACCGAAGCCCAAACGTTTGGACTGATCAATCTAGTGTTGGCCTTCAGTCAAACTGGTTTGCGGAGGGAGAGCATCCGTTTATTGATAAGCCACTAATAACTGAGCCCGCTGTACCAAGCGCACGGCTATTAGGCCTGGTTCAAAACTGTATCCCAGCAACAAGCAGAACATGCTCAACAAAGATGTTACTCGAATTGTGCAGAGTCTCTCTCGTGTTCGCCGAAATCTAGCAATTGAAAGAAAGGCTCTGCTAAGAGGGTGGCAATCCCCTTCTCTTCAGTGGCTCACATTTGTCCAAAATTTCAGTCGGTCGATCGCTATGATAACGGCTTTTCCTTCATAAACGGCAAAAAAATGCCAGTTTTTTGGCTTTATATCAGAATAACAACCCATAGGCGATACAGTTTATATAGCCATACATGATATATACAGCTATTTCGAGAAAGGTTGACGCAAAAAAATGTGCACGCGACAATCCCGAAAGGTAATATGGGATATGATCATTACACTGTACCTAACGACTGTAGCTGTCGAACCTACTTTTCTTGCTTTCCTTTAGCATACACAAACGTAAGTCCATGGCCTCTCGTGCCATTCTTTCAAATTTCTTTGTAGAAGAGTGAACTTAAAACCACCCACAATACCTTTCGGGATTGTCACGTGCACTTTTTCCGACAGCCTTTCTCGAAATAGCTGTATACTATGTGGGGACATAGGTAGGCCTGGGTATCAATACTTTCCAAGAGAATCTGTCAGGGATGAGGCAGGTTTCTAATGAGTACCTCAATGGGGTGGAAAAAAGGAGAGGTCCTTAGAGACCGAAAACCGGTGATTAAAACTTTTTCTGAAGCCCACTAAACATATTTTTATTTCTTTATGGTAAAATAATGCTAGTCCTAAGTTATATTGACGCTCTCTATTTGACGGCAAATTTTGGCTAGAAATCTTTTCTAGTCGACCGACTATTGGTGAAAATTTCCGTTTTAACGTATGACTCAACCCGTTCTGGCTGCTAGTAAATCGCAAATCGCATTGAAACCCTTAAATTATGGACTGAATTTCGTTCAGTATCACTATAGTGTAGCTTTTTCTCACTCACTTGCAAGTACGATAAACCAACAAAGGAACGCAGTAAAGATTATCATGATCACCTGAAATAAAGAGAACGAACTCAGTCAGATTGAGACAAAAATAAAAAATACATGAATGGCAGAATAAAAATACAGGAAAACAAAAGACTAGCATGAAAAAGAAATAGGTACGGGGTCAAGATTTCTCTGTTATTTCCTCAAGATCTAGGGTGGATTCATTCAGTAACACACTCTTATAGCTGTTGCATTTGCCCGCTAGTATTTCTTATTGTTTTTAGGCAATAAAAAAGCAGGCAAATGTGACAACTATTAGTACTCGTATGTTGCCGCTGTTTCTGTTCCCCTCTCTGACGTTAAATCTCGGAATAATTACCTTTCATAACACTACCGCTCTTTAGAAAAACGTTTTAACAATGTCCCCGATTTAGGCCCCTTAATTCTTTTCCCTAGCAAATATACCTTGATCACGAACAAATGCCATAGTTTTTTTAATTTGGCTCTACTTACAGCTCTACTTACCACGGTGGAAAAATCAACAAGATCAATTGAGAGTCAACACGGAAACAACTCGGTAAAAGAGGAAAAACAAGGGCTAAACACCAGTGACTTAGAGACAATAACGGCTAAAGGACCTGCTCACAGTTCGTACGGCAATTGTTAGGAGGCTAATTGTTTAGGGCAACATGCATTCCACCCGCTTTTTGCCACTTGAGTGATTATACCTGTTGCCTTGGGTCCGGGTATTTAACAGAAAATATCGTGTCCAAAAAAAAACGGGTTCCAAGCGGTTTTCAATTTTTTCAACTTTTATATCCATTTTACATCGCTTGCCGTGCACGTTTGAAGCCCAGGACAGAAAACCAGTGTCTTTGAATATACCACTGTGTGGAAGTACTTCGGGCGGATTTTCAAAAATGGTGTTTTTGTTTTAATAACCGACACCTTTTGCTTACTTGTGTAAATATAAGACAACGCATATTCACGCGAGGTTTATTGTCCGTCAGTTAGTTCGTGTATTTTTTAGAGAAAAATATTTATTTACTGTGATTAACGTTTCAATGACAACCTCTGTCTATAACGGTTTGAATTGCTTGTAGTTTTTGGCCGCCAGGGACTATGGGATCCAAAGACCGACAGCAACGAGAAAAAATACAATAGGGTTTAATAAACAAAACAATAACTTCGCACGTGCATCACACTTTTTTTTGTACATTTCTTTGCTGTTTTTGCACGACTAAGACGAGAAAATGCCTGATTTCGCATTTTACTGATAACGTAAACATTTAGCAACGACAAAATTTTCTTTTTCTTTCTGAACTTGAATATTGTCCCTTGGAATTCAACTACAGGAGGGTCCGCCTACATTTGACAAAGTAAATGGGTAGGAATAATTGAAAGACTGAAAGAACGCAAATTCACTTCTTAAGCGGCGTTCTCTTTGCCGTCCGTCGCATCGTTGGATGTTAAAGTCGACTCGTGTCTGCTGTACAGTATCTGGTCCTTGGTGCGCGACTAAATGAATATCTTCTCTAAATCAAATCGTAACGAGCTGAAATACCCCTGAAGGTAACTTTTATGTTCCTCTCGATAATAGTGAAGTTTCAAGTTCCAAACTTTAGTATTTTGCTTGTAATTCGAAAAAAGGCGACCGTGCTCGACGGTCCTAATGGTCCGCAAGTGTGGTCCTTGGTCCACGACTCAGGTACGGCAGCACGAAAAAAAACGTGAGAGTGCGATAGTCTTCACACGAAAACGTATTTTCATAATGTTTCATGTATTTTTCTATTCTTGATGCAATAAAGCTATAGTTTTTTTGGAAGTTGTTGTGAGTATAAAATAATCCGCTTTTCTTTTAAAGACCTCAGACAACAGTTTCCCACAGAAGCGGTTTTCATCGCGGTCGACTGAATAATTACCAAAAACTCTGCATGTATTCAAGGTATTTTAAGACTAAGAGAACTTGTAAACATGTATAAGGAAGATTTTTAAAACATTCTTCGAAAACAAAGGCCGTTTCCTTTTACTTTGCGAAATGTAATTCCACCAGGACCACTACGCGAAATTTGGTGATGTTTCTGAAGAGTCGATAAAACAAAAAAAATCAAAGTCTGCAGCAATGTGCTTCCAACGGCAGAAATAGGTTTATCTGGAAACCTGTTCTACAAAAAGGCACGTCTTCCCGTTACGTTGTATACATTCACAAGATAAGTAAACATGACCCCGTAATTTATGGTGCCGTAAAAGTCCTCTGGTCCAAACTTCAAGAAGGACAAATTAACCTACCTGTCAACAAACTTTAATTTCGAGCCTTCACCCACAGTAGGACTGTATTTGTGATACTTTCGTAATTCAGTTTAGGCAACTTAAAAAATTTTGTTTTTTAGATTGCCCATCTTGTGTAAGGATCTTGTTTCAAAATAGCGTACTTGTATGTTTGCAGTGAAACGGATCGACATAAGTTTAACCTTTGACGTACATTTTTAACGAGACACAAACGAAAATTGTATTAGCCAATATAATGCAAGAAAACCCACGAACGTTTGAAAAAAAAATTGTTAATCTAACAAAAAAAAGGTTTTCTGAGTAGTAGGAGTACTGAGGTTTTCGGAGTAGTTTGATCTTTTTTGAAGCTGGTTACTTCTCGCCTCGAGCTATAAACGGACATCTTAAGAGGAACAATTTAATATCGATCTCTCCTTGACAGCGAAGCGAAAATATCCTATTAATGGATTGGATTAACGCAGTGTTCTAAAAGTTGGATTGAGGAATAGAAATTTCTTAGCAGAGTTAAGTCGTTGTTACTTATTTCCACTGGTGCGTAAAAATTCTGCACCCGAGAAGAGTTTGGAATACTGAGCAATCATTGCTCAATTGTTGACCTGTTTGAATAAAGTCACTAAGTAATACTACGCGTTAGTTCATCATGCGAGTTAAAGCCGCACTGTCTTGGTAAGAAGTATGCTAGTAAATGATACTACCTCATGTACAAATCGACTGAAGATTGATCATTGAAAGAGAAGAACTGAAAACGCCACCACCTCAGTACTGAAAGTCGAAATCTCCGTAAAAACGAGGCCCTGTTTTTTTACGTTTGGGTTGAACGGGTGATATCTTGGTGGCCACATAGAAAGAAAGGCTGGGTTCTACAGTAAGTAAAAATTTTAGGGAATAATTGGGCGTAACTTATCTTGAACTTAAAAGCAACTTAATCCTCGGCACTAGTGAAGAGTTAAAAAAACGTCATGCTAACTATATAAAGATAGTAATTCTTATGGCCCATCCAAAACGCAAGAGATGGCGTTGGTTTTTTGTTGTTGGTGGTTTATTTTGTTTGTTTGCCTTAATTTTTGTTTTAATTTTAATTTTACCTAAAGAGATTTAAGCTTTGGCTTGTAAGCCCGTGATTTTGCCAAAGCTATCACGGAGGGAAATCACTTTACTCATTAATATTTAAATGCCCGT